AGTGACTACAGATGCAGCAGTCTCATCAAAATCAAGGCCAGGACATTGAAAATTACCGCATATGACCCATCTAGCATGGAAGGAGGTAACATAGCTGTCAGCATTCACTTTCAAGTCAAAAACCCATTTGCCAGGTAGAATCTTAGCTGTAGGATCTATTGAATCCATCTCAACTAGCTCCCAAGTATTGGCAGCTTCTAGCTTCTCAATTTGTTTTTTCATAGCACTCTTCCATTCACTGGCATATTTGCTAGTTATAGCTTCTTTGTAGTTGCATGAAACCTTAACTTTATAAGCTAGCAGGTCAGCTGCAAGATAGAAAGTGTAATCTCCATATAGTCTTGGTGATTTGCCTTTAGTTGTACAGCTCAATACATGTCTTGCAGGCTGAGGGTTCAGCTCCATTGAAGCTGTAGGTTCTGGTTTGTGTGTAGGCATGGATTCAGTGCTCTGTTCCAGTTCTTCCAACACATCTCTGAACATCTTGTTGTGGATTTGGCCCTCAATCAAGTCATTGTCACTATCTCCATTATATGGAGGCTCTGGCATTTCTTCAATAGTCTCATGAACAGGCTCTTGAAATCTCATCATGCATTCAGGTGCTGAAGAAGTCTTCTGAGGTGACAGTGTTATTGTTTGAAGCTGTAGGCCATGCATTTGCTCCTGCATCCAGAAAGGTATTGGGATCTCAGAGTTCTCAATCAGGTTAGCTTCTTGAGCATGTGCCTCTGTAGGCTCTTGTGTTGAAGCTGGTAGAAGCCTAGTAGCAGCTTGCTTCACTGCCCTCATAGCTTCCTGCTTTGAGAAGCTTGGAATCACAAAGAGTTCTGTAAATCTATTCTTCAGCTTAGAATCTTCCTTTTTCAGGAGGTCTGGAATGGCATTGACATCCTTGTTGAACTTGGCATTGTGTGTATGTATAATTTTGCCAGTCTCCAGGATCCAGATCTTATAAATATGTCCATTCTCATCTTCATATCCAACTAGGCAACCAAGTTGAGCCCTGGATTTCATTTTATATACCTTATTGTAGTTCACTCTATCCTCTGGCAAAATATGTGTGTAGGCTATACATCTGTAAGCTCATAGGTGCTGTAGATTTGACTTCTTTTTCCAAAAGAGCTTGTATGATGATTCTCCACCTCCAGCCAGAGAGATTCTATTCATAATGTAGCAAGCAGTTTGCAAGGCCAGATTCCAGACTTCTTGTGAAAGCTTTGCTTCTAAAATCATGACACAACTTATTTCTACTAAATAGCTGCTGATTTGTTCTGCTACACCATTTTGCTCAGATGTGTATGGAGCAGTCACTTTGCATTCAATTCCACAGGCCAGGGCAAATTCCTTCTTAAATAGTGAAAATTCAGTGCCTCCATCCATTTGTATGGTATCCATATAGAAGCCTAGTAGATTTCTGAGCCTCTTGACATGCTTCTGGAGACTATGTGAAGCTTCAGCTTTATTCTTGAGTAGTATAACCCATTTAAAACACATGCAGTCATCCACAATTATTAGAGCATATTTGAAGGCTTGAAAACTCATTGGCTTTATGATTTGAAGGTCAATATGGATCTTCTGCCCAGGAACCATAGACCAGATCTGTAGTGTTTGAGATATCTGCCATTTTGACCTTTCTAGTGCACATGCTTCACAATGGAAAGTATCTTGGCCTTCTATTTTGATTTCCTGGTCTTTTGCTGCTTTTTGTGTGGTAGGGAATGTGCAGTGTCCCAGCCATCTATGGAGAAGCTCCAGCATGAGCTTTATAGTAGTGTATGTCTGTTGAATGGCTTTCTCTTGCTGATGAAGTGGCTCTGTCTCAAGGATTATAACACCATCACTTTTCTTAGCATATCCCACTAGTTTGTGGTCTCTTTGTGTTTGCAGCATGTGGTCTACTTCTGTAAAGTAGAGATTCAACTTTTCAGTCAACTGGTTCATGGAAAGCAAATTTGTGCCCAACTTTGGGTTATACCATGCACATATATGGATCTTGTTGACAATGCCATTCTGGACAATGCATCTAACACATACTATGCCACTACCCTTTATGGAAATGATTTCTCCATTTGAAGTCCTGTACCAATGATCTGTAGTAGAATCAAAGCTAGTAAAGTAGACTTTATTGCAACAAATCAAGTGACTGCAGCATGTGTCAACAAGCCAGATTTCCAGACCAACAGCTCTTTCAGATACAGATGCCACCAAGCTAGATTCAAATGCCATGCCAGCAAAGCTATTTTCAAATTCTATTATGAGATGATTTTCTCCTGTATTATCCTTAGCATCTTCACTGGAATTTGGTTGCTGAGATTTGAATTGACTCTGGTTTTTCTGTTCAGGATTCATGTGCCATCTTCCTTTGGGCCTTGGTCTCATTCATAAATGTGGCTTTGGCTTCCATCCTTGATATCTCTTGTCAGTAAAAAGGTGAGGGCATTGTTGTATGGCATGACCTGGAGTCTCACAATATCCACAGTTGTCATCTATTTTGCTAGATATTTTTTTGCATAAGAATTTGACATGGTTATCCCACAAGACTCCCTTCTGTGAAGCATATTTCTGTACAATTTGCTTGTTGGGGGCAGTCTCTTTGAATTTGATTTGTCTGGCCATATATATCTCACTCAGAGCTTCCACATATTTCTTTACCTCCTGCACAAGATTTCTCATATCCTCATATGTTATGTCACTTGGGTTTGTATTTCAAACTATTGATAGCACACTATCTATATAGTTCTCATTAATCACTTGTACACCCTCAATTATCTTGTTAATCACTAGGGAAGGATATAATGGATGAGGAGCTTGCAATGCTCTCTGATATTGTTCAAGCAGTATGTTGAGGTATTGCATAACTGATCCATAGTTGTGTTGATGTGTGTAGAAATAATTCTCTGCTGCATGAATGCATGTATTTTTATCAGGCTTTAGGAAGAGCTGCTTTGTGTAGAATATCATGAGAGCAGGATCATTAATATTGCCTTCATAGTGCTTGCTGATTCAATCTTGAGCATCATCTTCCATGCTTAAGCTGAGCCATGTAATGAAGGATGTCATAGCACTTTGCCATTTAATTTATATATCTTCAGAAGCCTCTGTAGGCTCTGACACTACTGCATTGTATAGAATCCCCCAGTCATAGTGGTTTAGCTGCAACCTGACAATGTTTAACCAAGTATTCACATTTTTCTTGTCTTGTAGCATGGGAATTAACCAAATTGTTGTTCCAGTGATGTCTGTAACCATTTTGTCTGCTATATTGAAATTTCTTTCAATTCAGGAAGTTGTTTCTCTGAACTGGCAGCCTGCAATGCTGCTCTGTAGAAAGCCAACCCACCATGTGATGCCCACTAGCTGTGAATGTGCACCTGTGTTGGTGCTAGCATCCTCCATATGTTTCACTGGACTCATATTTCTGGAGGTTGGATTGGGGGTTGGAGCTGAGGAGCTCTCCAGGTCAATGTCTATTGTTCTGTCAAGAGTTTTTCCTCTTTTGACAACTCCAAAGGCTTCAAAGATTCCTAAAGAAGGGCTCAGAATCTCTTGGAAGGACCTACAAGGCTACTAATCATATGTGAAAGCTATAGAAATCACAGAACATGAACTCCATAGATATGCATGCCCTCTCTCCTCTCATCCAAAGGATTGTGGGATGAGAAGCAAGATGAAAACTCTGCATCAGATCAAAGAAGATCCGAGCCGCTAAGCTGGAGACTAACTACATAGAGACTAGTGTCTCGACACACTTTCTAGTCAGCAGTTCTCCATAAAATGCAGTGTTTAGCAGACCTGAGCAAGGATATTTCAGTAGCTGAAAAGAGAGCAGAGAAAGAGAAGGCAGCTCTTACATCAATTCTTGACTTTAATGTATTGTTGCATCTGTTGGTCACTATTATGATGTCATTCAGGTGTCTGGTGTGCCCCTCCTTTCCATTCAGAGGGCTGTGGGGGCATTTCAGGTGCATTATCTCATCATATTGGTGCACTGAAAGTGCAAAAGTCAATCAGCTGATCTTTCAAGATGATGGGTATCCCACAGCAGTAGCTAGCTTCTGCACATTGGACCAATGGTGGCCCTAATTCTCCAACAGACTGAGTTGATTGCTGCCCACATGCTCTGCACCCATGATAAGAACTTTCATTTAAGAGTCAAAAGCTGCCATAGAGATCACTTTGCAAAGGCACAGTGTGGCAAGACATGAGACTCTGGCCCTTCTTCAAGCCAGAAGATTGACCAGACAGACTGACACTTCTCTTCTGCTTCATAATCTTCTGTTACATGGTTATGCTGCATCAATGCCAAGCAGGGGTATATCTGCGCACTTTGCTCACAAAATGATCATGTAAGGGCATTTGAGGGGGTCATCAGGAGTTTATAATAAGAAAGTCTGTAGTTGAGCATAGCTATTCTGAAGCAATCAATTGTGTAGCGGCTCATTGCTCCAATATATATATGCATCACCGATTGCGAAGGAAGGTGCAGTAAAACAGGATGCCAGGACAGAACAGGACAGAACAGGACAGAACAGGACAGAACAGGGCAGAACAGCACAGTACAACAGAGAGGGCCGCTTGTGACCATGATGCCAGAGTCCGCACGTGATTACCTGTGCCCCGCTCTGCGCCCTACTGATCTCATTGAGATGGAGAATGCGGGCACCATCTCCTGAATGTCAAACTGAAACTTTTTCACGTCACCGAAACCACCATTTCTATTCATATTTTTCCCACAGCAGACACTCAGTGCTTGACTCTGGGATATCTCTCAGAGGCCTTCTTTACTTTCCTTTCCTTCTTTTCAGCTACCTTTTCTTAGTGGCACAAAATAATTCATTGCGACAAGTTTCTTCCGCGTACTTCGGTTTGTCCCTACTTCTCAAGTTAGACAGTCTTATATGTTAATTATTTATCGACCAGATATTTGTCGGTTTGATGTCTTAGGAGAACCCGGAAATAATTTGTCTCTCCTTCCCGGCTCCATTGATTCTATCATCAGCATGGCTTCCTTACATACATTGGACATAAATCGCGAGGCGGAAGATAACAAACAACTCAAACAAATCTATAAGAAGGAGGTTTGTATTTCCAATTAAGGGGTATTGCAGGAGAGCTAATATTGTATTAGACCAACTACCCTGACGCGGAAGTGGACGCTGGAGTCGGAGAGGAAAAATGGATTTCGCCTAATCCATTCCTAGTGATAGGCCCGTTTAAATATACAACTGCTATTGTTATTAAAGGAAACGGAGGGATCGTCAGTATTCTGAAAGGCAATGAGTGTGTTAAAAGTTATCCTGATCAGGACCTGGTGAAGGAAGCTATAATGGTGTTTCTTGAGCCTGGTTTTTACTGCTGGATTATGAAAGGTTCCCAAGTAAAATTTATCAAGCAGCCAGAGTGATGATTAGATTTAGCTCATGTATTTTCGCATGATTTGACTACCTATCTCCAATGGAATAAGCATAAATGGCTGTTGAACATATGGATCTGGGAAGGTAATTTGTAACTGATGACTGTCTCCCTCCTTTACAATATCCAGGAGCAGTTGGACTGCGGGTAATGTGAGAGGAACAACAACAGGCTCTCTCAGGTTACCTTTTTCTGATGATCTAGTTAGCATAATTCCACTCGCCAACAGGTAAATTGCCCTTATGTGAAACGGGATAGCCTTGGGCAGTTGTCCTGCCCTTCTCGTTCGCGTGTTGAGAGCAGTTTGTCTGGATAGATGTAGTTGCAAGTTCTATGTCTTGCCAGAGGCAGGTTAGAAAATGGCCTCACCCAAAACATATTAGTTGACTAACCTCAAGTACTTTCACTTTCGGGCAGTGGTGAAAATTGGTCAGGACTTTCTGTCGCCGCTATAGGGCTTGCTGTTTGATGGCTCACTGCTGTATTTTGAATTGGTGATTTGTTTTCTAAAAATTTCTGTTTTGGCTGCTGCGGCAGGAGTCTTTCGCAGGCTTTATCAGCAATGCCAGACAGGCTCGTTCGATCCTCGCGCATCCACCAGTTGCTGAGGTGCCTATAGACAGCTGATGGGATCGGCGGAAGTGTGGAAATGCTCAAGGCCAAAGAACATAGTAACAGTAACCCGCTTCCCCCGAGGTGGCGGATATCCATGTCGGATCAAGGGAGATTCTGTTGAGCAACAGCGATCCGCTCCTTCTGCTCCCTCAGCAGCTTCTCTTGTATCCGTCAGCTTTTTCCTTCTCCAAAGCTGTTTGCTCTATTACTGCTTCCTCTCCTTTTACAAACATCCATTCATTAGCTGTTTTATTCTTGGAATACAATTGTTTTGCGCATTAATTGTAGTTGGAACGCCCCCATGTAAGGCTGATGAAAGTCTTGCTAGCCCCACTTGTTGAGTGGGGCTTCTGAGCAGACCGTGAGTTTAAACCAGGTCCATACTTTACTGCTGCTCGTCTCCTTATCTCTTTTTGCCTGTTTGCTTTGATGACGTGTGGAAGCGAGTTCCAAACACTATTTTTGCTCATGTACTCTGTAGCGTGCCTTTGTTTGTTCTAGATAACTAAGACTTTGGTGGGGAAAATGATTGGCGATTGGAATGAACAAATTATGTTATCGTTGGCATTATTCGCGCCACATTCTCGGATACAGCTGTTGCATTATTTTGCAGTATAGAGGATTACAACAGATGCCGGATGCTAGCTCTGCAACAGATAAGATGAATGAGACAGAGCAGAAAGAAAGTAGGGCACCCAGAGAACAACAAGTCGCGTGTATGTGCTACCAAAGGAGGAATATAAAGCTCAACAGAATTTCACTTTCTCCGAAGCTCTTTCAAGGAACTAAGCTCCCATGCAATTGACTCCCTTGTTTTTCATTTTAGTAGTTTTAAGGATCATACTCGATAGTCCACAATCATGACTGATCCCTCTCTTGCTCTCGATAAGGTGTGCAATCACCTAAAAAATCCCGACGAGGCCAACAAGAATAGTCAGCAGTCAGATGCTGGATCCGACAGATTTGACGGTGCTTCTGGAGATCGGCCCCGTACGCAGACAAAGCCGACTACTACAGAGATAAACGATGTTAGCAGACCCACTCGAGGAGATAAGGTGACGGTAGCATACAACGGGTATCTTTATGACCGAAAAACGGGCTGCCGCGGTAAAAGGTAAGGCAAACTGCTACCTTAGATGGAGCCATGGCATGCTAATTGGCACATAGGATTGACACGACCGAAGAGCGAGGTGATTTTACTTTCCATTTGGGGACAGGAAAAGTTATCCAAGGTAGGGGACATCTGCCTTTGGAATCACTTCGTTCCGGTCACGTTAATCTCTACAATCTTGTAGGCTTTGAGAACGCAGTACTGAGCTTGGCCAAGGGAGCAGCATGTAGTGTCATTATTTCTCCGTAAGTTCTCTATACGTGACCAACTTTCGTCAGGGTAAGGCTAACAGACGCAGAGAGGAAGCTTATATGGATCGGTATGGCCGCCTTGTTACAATGAACAGCTCTTACACTAACATCACCTAATCAGTGGCTTTCCGGGCCTAATTCCACCCAACTCAACTCTTGCCTTGTGAGTATAGTTGCCCTTCATTGTAGGGCGATCTGACTTGTGTTACAACAGTGATATTCACCTCAAGGAGATTCATAATTCAGCAGTCCTGCCGTGCAAAAACTTCACAGTCTTCAGTCAAATGTATACATCGGTTGTCAATGGTCATGGCGCTGAATTCTCGGATCTTGGCAAAATTATCCTGTGCTGCGTGAGCTTGCGGATTTCGGAGCTAAACTCTGTTTGAGTGAGCTTCTCCGTAGTTGTTCTTCCGTGCCCGTCAGCACAACCCACTCATTAAAGCTCGTGTTCTTGACGCTAGCACTCCACACTCGGCTTGGAAGGTCAAAGTTGGGATCTTACAACGAGCAATGGTTCAGGGCGTGGTTCTCGATCCCTGGCTATCCCTGAGGGAGATAGACCAAGCCATGTACCGCTTGGGCCAAGTGACTGTCATGATTTCCAGACGAAGAATACATTTGGCCCTTCCTCGCCAAGATTAAAGAGGAACCAGCAGTTATTGGACAACATGGTGCATCCGCCTGCGGATGCACGGGGGCTTTCTGGGCTTGGGAGGCTTGCATCCTGGAAGCGCACTCAAACCTCAGCTGTCCGAGCTCGACAGAATATCAGGAATTCAGATCTCAGTTATGTTTCGTTCTAGACCCTGATTAAATGCAGGTGCAATCAAGCATGGGGAAACGCGCAAATAGTTCCGTATCAAAGCATGGGTGTGCTGATCAAAATGTTGCGCCCGTTTCTTGCTGGAGCATCAGGGTATTTGTACCCGCCCTTCTCCATTAAAGAACCATATCTTCCTTTCCCTTTCCATTCTTTGAGACTTAGTCCGAGCAGTTTTATGGACCGTTCAATGCCCATCCTTGCCAACAACGATTAAAAATTCTTCCTCCACTGGCGATTTATCAGTCCCAGCTGAACTTAAGAGATCTCGACTACATCTACCACAATGACCGATGGGAGCCCCCATAGCAAGGGCCGGGAGCTTACGCAGATTCGAGTACCTGTTGTAAGGCTACTAGTCCTCTATTCTGGCTATTGGGGAAATCTGACTGTTCTCCTCTAGCCAATAAAAATTCCATATCCACATTTTGCCATGATCACTATCGACCACGCCGGGGATATCAAATACCATACGTCGTTTTCTGCTGAAAGAGACTGCTATCACATTTTTGATCGTGATGTCAAGGAGCGCTTCCTTCAGTTGGCTGACACCCGCCGGGGTGCATTATCCGAAGTTGACAAAGACTCTGAACTTGACGAACGTCGGGTTGATCTCAGAATTGGTGATAAAGAGACGGTCAAGGCCTATTATTACGCAGCCTTTCGTGGATTCCAACAGATCAATTGTCGAACACTCTCCAGAGCCTGGATCAGATTCATCGAACCAAAGAAACAGGCCATGTACCCTTATAAAAAAGGACCGGTCACAAAGCCGCCTTGGTGGCCTGCAGACGTGGAACACAGGGAACCAGATCATTTGAAGACACCTTGTAAGTTCAATATACGCGAATGTCAAGCGGCGGCCACTAATGCTTAACCCACTGCCCCACAGGTCGTGTTCAACTCTTGGTTCATATTTTGAAGCTCTGTACCGTTACCGCTGATCAGCTTGAAGACGCTGGAAAGGATGTCCGGCGCCAGATCACACCGGTAGAGAGGTGGGAGATTTTGGAAGAAATATGCATGGTTCGGAGAATGGAGGAACGTTATGAAAGAGGGGAAATAGGTGAGTACTTCCGCTATATCCTCATCAACTACTAACGTTCAGTTAATAGACGCCAATACCACGGTAAATGTTGTCAACAGGTCAAAAAAGCGAGTTTCCTCATCGAGTGCGGGGGTGACATCTCCAACAAGCTCCGACCTAGAGCCAGACATGATCACGAGCGCGGTTGATATTGAACTCAGTGTCAAAAAGAGCTGAGTCTTGTGTATAAACTTCAAGCTCCAGAGCAAAGTCTTTAACAATAAATTTCTTCTTCTGTTCATTAAAAGAGATCCAGACATCAAGCTAAGGAAATAGGCAAAATCAATAGTCAGTATGATGGGAATACTTGGAATACTGCTTCCTGACTCACAGATGCAAGACAATCAAGTTCCTTCAAAATCAGGGTGACATTTCCAATGATGGCCCACACATACTTTCTACAAAGTACAATTGCCTGAGGCTTTTTCACTGGACAGATGAAAACATAGCTACTGTACATGTTGGAGTGGGCATGCCAATTTTAGATATGTGAGTCCATTGTTAAAAATGGAGCTAAAAGTAGTTGAGCTGCTGTACATAGTGAGCAATCTTGTATACTCCCAAAAGAACAGGTTGTGACCAGTTTCCACTGCTGCAAGTACCATTCCAGTTGTTTATTGTCTGCTTGAAGCCATTAGGCAATCTTTCTCTAGCAGATTACAAACTCAAGTAGTTATTGCTTTTCTGACTCATGAAGCACATCAAGTTGTAATTTCTGAATCTCAGAGACTAGGCTTTTGATAGTAGGTGTGCCATGGACAGCCCATTCTGCAAGCTGAATATGACTGGTAATACAAAATTAGTCCTGCAAGACAACACTGGCTTGCAAGTCAGCACCTGTCACTCAATTCAGCAGTGGCTTACAAAATCAGCTTAACAGCACACTACAGAGTAGTGGCTTGTTTTTTAAATTTCATGCCAAGAAAAGCTAGCAGTTCTGCCAAACAGGCACCCTATCTCTTTAATGTTCATCTCTTTGATGTTCATCTCTTTGACATTCATCTCTTTGATGTTCATTTCTTTGACATTTATCTCTTTAACATTCATTCTTTCAATGTTCATTCTTTTGACATTCATTTCTTCAATGTTCATCTCTTTGATGTTCATCTCTTTGATGTTCATCTCTTTGATGTTCATTTTTTTGATGTTTATTCTTTTAATGTTCATCTCTTCAATGTTCATCTCTTTAATGTTCATCCCTTCAACATTCATCCCTTTGACTCAACATGGAGAGTATAGCATGTCTTGCATGTAAAAAGCACATTCACAGAACTGGTATTTTCCATCATTAAAGACAGTATTGCCTGAAGAGAGACTGGATACAATCCTGTTATAAATGTGGACAAACTATAATATGGAGAAATTATTCCCAGCATAAATGTGCAACAGGCAAACAGCACAAATGTGAGACCTGTGGAGAAGTTTTACTGAAATTCAATATCTGATGCCATAAAAGAATCTGTACATGCTGACAGCATGAAGAGATGGACATACAGAAGGAAAGTAAGATATTACAGACTTTTAAACTCCAGCAAGGTATAAACATCTTCTTTATCTATATAAAATAATAAGACTGATGCAAATCTATAGCAGAGAATCAACATGAACTATTACTTTTATGTTCAAAGCTTGAACAACTCCAGGCCACTGGACATTTTTCTAGATGTTATCTGCAAAACCTCAAATTGCTTCCCACTACTGAAAACCAATGCTGGAACATGCCAGCCTTGATGAATCTGATGAACTGTTGGGATTGCCAATTTTCCCCAGAGAAATTCTGCCATATCATATGCATGTGTATTGAGCAGAAAGATGACTTTGATGTGCTAAGAGATGGGAAGCAAAGTATCAACCTAAATGTGCAGAATTATACAATTTCAACTACTTTATATCAAGAAACTATGCTGCTTGAGGCCATCTCTGGTGCCCAATACTCATTAATGAATATCTGGTTGTCTAAGAAGCTCTGGCATCTCTGTTCTGAAAGATCACTCTGCAACAAGCTATGTATTCTTAAAGACACAAAGCTAGAACTAAGTGCAAATTTTGCTCCAGCAGAGACTTTTGTTGATATACATATTGGTTTGTACAATTTAGCATACATGTGCAACACTATACTGATATGGCTCAGATCAGAACTGACATGTGCTCTTACAGTTAATTGAAAACTCCAAGTAAATTTGGCTTGTATATTCATCAACAAAGTCAAATCTCTAAATGTTTGTACAGTTGTCTGATGAGAGTGAATGTTTAATCAAGATCTCAGATCAACTTGAAGAAGATTATATAATGAAGATTAACTCTTTCTGAATTATTTACTTACCTCCAGGCTGAATTCATGCTACTTTCACCATTGCAAGTGGAATCTTGATCAGAGTTAATTTTGTCTCTCTAGAGAGTCTTAGTATTATGTTCCAAAGTCTGATCATTCATTTCTAATACTTTTTTTGACTTCAAGAGACATTTGAAGAAGATCTTAATGTTTATCAGCAATCACTTACATTCTTCCTGAACTGTAAGTTTGATGAAAAAATTATAGAAAGAGTGTTGGAGATTTGATCACTGCTTGCTAATGCATTCAGATATGGATGTAAAAAGCTGGAGATACAGTATTCAGAAAAAATGCAGGAATGAAGACAGCAGTTTCTTAATGTGTGGAAAGATGAATTAATGAGGAAAACAACTTGTTGCTGTAGGAGTTAATATGAGAATGGATACCAGCATATTCAAGAAAAACACATGTGGTCTTAGCCAATAACTGTTGCCAGAAAAATCAATGAAATCCTGCAAACAAAATTTGAGTTGCAAGCTGTTTTGAATGAACTGCAAGAACCAAAAATCTAGAGATTCAAACTCCACAAACCCAGAACTCCAGAAATTTAGAATTGAGCTGTTTTGAATCAGCTTGCCTCACTCATCTCTTCTTAAGCTGGTGCTGCAATTATGGCCATGGCATGTCCATTCTGCACTGCCAAAGTGAGATTTCAGGTCAGGATGCTGTATTGTTGGGGCCTAAAGATAGACTCTTCTAGTTTTAAAGCTGCAGATTGTAAACAGAACTTGGAAAGAATCATTCATAGCTGTAATACATTCACCTATAAGAAGTATAAGGGAGTATTAACTCTAGATAAGTGTATTGAGTGAATGATGAGATCTGAAAATGTTTACAAGATGTAGGCAGATGGAATGAAAGAAATATAAAGACAATAAATACTCTGAATTATCTTATTATTGAACCTATTTCTACTCTCAGTTTAACTATATAAGAAATCAACCAGATTTGCTTGTACTACTCTTGAACTCTTTTCCACTTATAAGTTAGTACCAATAAACTATTGTAGTTGGAGTGTTTATATGTTCATTTTTCTTGAAGAAGCAGAACTCTAAGATGTTGTCATGTAACACAAAATTTAGTCCTGCAAAACAAAACTAGCTTGCAAGTCAACTTGCCGCACCTTAAAGATGATTGTCATCAATGGTTCTGGCACCAGCTTCTCACAGCAGTGGCCACTAGGACTCTGGCTCCAGTTTAGTATAAAAACTCACCAATTATTGTAGTATACACCTCTAAGAGTTCATTTGTAACCTTCTTTCCTCTTTGCAATTCCACCAAACCTTATCACAAAAAGCCTGAAACTTGCCATGTCATTTACACTCTCTCTTAAATCTGCCTTCATATGGGCTAAAAGGATGTGGCACAAGTCTGTGAAATGCCTTTGTTGCCAGAGCTACAGAGATGATCAAGCAATACATTCCAATTTCCCTAGTGAAATGTTTGATGAATCTGAGAATTGCATTGGTATTAATACTTACAGGCATTAGGCCCTTTCATCAGACAGGCACACAATGACAAACCTTGAGACTTGGCAATACCTGTGTGTGAAACTTCCCTGTGGGGTTAGAGGCCCCATTCACAGGCTGCCTAGAAGAGTTTTGAATGTCAATACTGTTGACATTTTCCCATACATTAAAGTATGCACCAAGTGTATCACCATGTGCATACAGTTCATGTCCAAATCCATCTCCAAATCCAACCAGATAGAACACCACAATAGGGCTAGATTCAGCACAGGTGCTCATTGGCCCCAGGAATGTCAGTAAGCAAGTTGGACAATAAATATCAAGACCTTTCCCACTATCTGTCCATAGCAACATATCCCTCTTCAACACATGCCTCCTCAAGGGTCTGTCAGGATGATATCTTTCATCTCTGAGCTTTTTGGTTAATTTTATAAGTTCTGACCTGCCCTATACCAGTCAGTAATTGCCCACCTTAACTAACACTCGACTTCAAGTTGCTATCAATATGTCTGGCTTATTGTTAACCTCTGGGTGTATCACTGGCTTAAACCAATTCCCCCCCCCTCTCCAGCCCACTGGGGCCTGCAGATGTAATGGTGGTCATCCCCTGTCTCAATATTGACAGGCAAAGGCTGGCAGAGACCCTCAAGTCAATTCTTAAAATGATCTACAGAAAGTCATTTTGGTAACTGTTAAGAAGAAGCAGAGCATGGCTGAAGAGGTGATGAGAATGGTCAGACCCTGTTGGGTTGAACTCCAGATAGTCACAGTGCAACAATATAGTAAAAGAAGACAGTTGGTGGCAGAAATTCAGCTTGTTGCAACTGATATTACTGTGCTTGCAGATAATGATGTTATCTGAAAATCTTCTCATCTTCTCAAATAGATACTCACATCATTCAAGAGAGAGAAGATGAAAGAAGTTGATACATATCAGTATCTTCAGCATGATCTGCTGCAGGGCCTGTGATAATGTATCTGAAGTTTTTCCAGAGCATTGTATCTTGAGTAAAGGAACTTTAACTGTGCTGCAATAACTTATATGAACAGAGAGATGCCATATATTTTCAGGCAAACTGCTGTATATTGCTCTGAGATTCTGCAGAACTCTGAATTTCTTGACATCTTTAGAGGTGAAACTTGGCAGGGCAAACAACTCTAGCCTGATAACAATAATTTTATCACATGTTGGCTGGATTTACACTTCTGGAACATGCATTTTCAATATTATTCAGAAGCCCTAGTTTTGACAACACTTAAGAATAATTGGAAGTATCTGAAACAGTGTCTCTGCTGATCTTAAAGTAATTGGAGAAGTAATCTGTGCAGCTTGTTCTGCAAGCAGTTTATCTGGAGATCAGTTCAGAATGAGATACAGTAGCTCATAAACTAACTGGTCTTTAAACAGAAGACACATCTACAGCATTTATACTGTTTTTCTAATAACTTTTTTGTCACCAGCATTCTTTGTTGAATCTGCATTAATATGGCTGTGCTACAGGACAACAGAGAACAACTCTGTCATGCATTAATAAGTATTGTGGTTGCTTCTTTTTTGAATGTTTCTCACTAAGATTATCAAATTCTTAGAATATTTCAAGCAAAACTCATTCAATATTGCCTTGATACCAATTTCTGTCTTGTTTAGCTATTTTTACAGTATTCTCAAGGTCTATGCAGCATGTACACTTCATGTTGTAAGCTCTACACTTCTCACTTGGCAAATGATGCCTATGGACAAACTTGTTGTGGCTCAAGACATCTTGGGGAACCCAAGACATGGTGACAAGAGAATCAAAGTTAGAAAATAATAATATTCCAAATCAATGAGCTTCTGACCTCTTTGGGTCTTGGTGGCATTCTTTCAACATAAAGAAGTAACTCACATCATGGTGCAGATGTATCATTTTCTTCTGGGTTTGTTATGTCAACCCTGATTAGTGTGTTACCTGAAAGCTGCTAATTCCCTCCTGTAATTGCTTCAGATGAATGCCTGGCCAGTAGGACAATCAAGACTCCAACTCTGACTTCTTGGAGTTGGGATGTGCTTGCTGGCTGAACAGGCTCTGAATGTGCTGATGCCATTAAGGGTTGGGCAGATTATGAGCAGACTAAGCAAATCAAGCAGTATGTTTCATTTTTCTCTTCTGTTAGGGTGTATTGATTTTCTTGAGCTAACCATCAACAGACTTATCTGAGGAGATCTATCATCTTGCATTCCTTCACTTTCTTGAACCTGGATATTTAATTGCAAGTGTTAGGACATATCTGCTGCTTTCACTAGAGCATTACTGGGACTGCAGATTGAAAATTAATACCTTTGCCAAAGTCATGAGTCTTCCAAGTGAGTTTGATGAAGCTTGGAACTTTGCCACTCTGTCAGATGTGATATTGGATGTTAACTGTTTTGAAGCAGTTATATCACTAACAATTTTTATGCTTATTCCCATACTTTCTGATACTATTTTGACATTTACTTCTATATACTACTAACTTGGCAGCCAGGCAGCAGTGTCCTTTGCAGTGATCATGGGCTCTTATATCTTCCTCTCAGGAAAGCTCCAGTCCCAACAACATAATAGATGGAAGATATATCATGATAGCATCAGAAGAGAAAAGGAGGCCTGTCATGACTCTATTTTTAACTGGCATACAGTAATTTGCTTCAGCCATCTGGAGCAGGAGATCACCTGGTTTCAAAATACTGTTGATGCCTGCTTGAATTCCAGTCAACATCCTGCTGCTCTTTCAATACTGAGAGGAGCATTACAATTTCTTGTTTATACAGGAGGTCCAGCTGGCTGTGTCATGATAACATGCAATATGGTGAGATTACAACAATGTTCATTTTTCTCACACAATTGCAAGAGACTCTGAAAAACATGCAAAGCTTTCTGAATGCTATCCACTTGAAGCTTGCAAAAGTTAATTCACTTATTAAAATCTCCAAGAAAGAAACATCAGTCTGTTATCAACAGCAGAAGATGCTGTTAGTTAATCAGAGAAACATCTACTGAAGTATTAAGTTCAAGAGCATGGACTTTTCTTACAATAAACAATGCCAAGTTCTTGAAGAATTGTCATTCAGGATGCCAGGCAGCAAAACCATTGCATTTATTGGAGAGTCTGGCAGTGGAAAATCAATCATCCTAAATCTTCTTTTACAAGTCCACTTCCCACAACATGGCTCCATTCAAATTAATAAAAGCAATATTTTGGAGAGCTAAAAGAAAGAAATTATCTTTGTACTCCAGAAACCTAGCTTTTTTAGTGACTGCAGTATTATGGAGAATCTCAAATACACCAACCCCAATGTCAAGAATGCAGAAATACACAAGATCTGCCACTTATTGTTAATCCACAACTGGATCCAATGATGCTCTGAAGGCTATAACATCTGGTATCAAGATGCTATATTCTCTGGTGGAGAGCAGCAACAATTGGCCATCACTTGTGCTTTAACCCAGAATGCACACATTTTTCTTCTGAATGAACTTACAAACAGCCAGAATAACAAGACAGCCTCTTGTATCTTGAATGTGCTGAAATCATGCACTAATAGTTGGATCATCATTTTAGTTTCATAAGTCAGACTCAGTCCCTCTTGTTCTGTCCTCACTGACATTTACTTGAGACACAATCTCAGAAAGATTAAGAATGTTCATCATATCTTCTTTCTTAATAAAGGGAGAGTGGTTGAGCAAGGGAAGCATGAGAAACTTGTTGATTTGAAAGATCAATACTACAAACTATGGTCCATCCAACAGCAGGCTGGTGAGTAAAGACTTGCTTTTCAGATTATTACAAATTACTTAGTTTGTGGAAATACATGCACTTGTGACAAATCTGAAAAGCCTGCATGCTCTTTCAGGAATTTTTCTATTGCTTGTACAGAACTCCTGCGTCAAGGGCCTTCTGTTATACCTGCTAGAGCTAGTTGTTTCAGCAGCATTCAACTATCACTTTTCTCTTGTCATTCATGAAGGGCTAGATGTGTTATAGATGGGCTGACCTTGTGAGAGATAACTGTATTATCACTCTTCAAGATTCCAATTTGCATTGCTTAGACAATAGGCCAGATTTCTATATGCTTCATTTTGCTTTTGCAAGTGTGGTGAGCCTATTGAAAAAGAAGCCTTGAGACTCTGTTCATTGCAGTGACTGTATTTTGATGTGGAGATATATAAAATGTGAAATTCTTGAGATTGATAATGCTAAAAACCAAGCAAACTAGATGCTCAAGAGTGACTTCAGAACAGGGTTTCTTTTATCACTGGCAAAATAACTATAGTACAGGTGCTGAAGATGCTGAGAATCTTATTAATGACTTTCTTGTTGGAATTCTTTCCCAGTTTTGGATGAGAATGCATCAGAGATAACTGGATATAGTTGCATGGAGAACTGAAATTGTAGAAAATTTTCTAATCCAGATTTTTGTCTCCTGCATGATAACTAGCAGTTCTGCTAGTTAAAGAGGATAGAAACACATGGAATTCTGAAAAGCCTCTGCAACATAAAAGTCAACACAAAAAAATTTCTTCTATCTAGCCAATAAGATTATTAGATTTGGGGATTTGGAAAGTGCTCTAGTGAAGTAAAGTGTTGTAGCTGTCATTTGAAAAAATATATAAAGTATTTGAATTCTTCTCACTGAAGCTTCTTTTTCTTCTCTTGACAAAATTTCTTGGTTCAAGAGGTAAGTGAAAAGGCCATTAAGCATGAATGCTTCAAGATGTGCTAACTGGTACTAGGTGTAGCATATCAAGACCACCTTCTTAAATTTGAATTTTGTAAGTATTCTGCTAAATTGGTTTTAAATTATTAACTAATAGGCATACTGTATTCAAGTTGAAGAATTGCTTCTGAGATCTGAAATTGAATATAATAGCAACCTATTTACACTCTGAAATAACTTGACTCTTGAAGCAGATTGAGAAGAGATATTCTGATTTCAAATTGCATGAGAAGCATATTCATGACTTGAACTATATTAACAACAATACTTGTGTCATCTGCTGGTGATGCTTCTTCTTGTTAATAAAGTTTGGACCCTGCAAGCATACATTTTATCTTGAATGTCTTTGAGATCATCTCAAGAGTGCAGTTTTAGCAGAAATAACATGTCTTCTTTGCTGATTGGATGCATATGAATTTAAGTATAATATCTTTGTCAATAATGACAGATGTAAACATACAAAGAAGGAAAAAAAAGCTCTTTTTTTAATTATCTTCTTTGTAAAACTTCAAAATCTTGATGGTGGCTATATTTTTTATGATGATCTTGATGCAGTATATGATCTGGATCTTGTGTAAGGATTTGCCCGCGAACCCCTTACATGGACAAACAACACCCGCGAGGGCCCAGGGCCTGGGCTTGTGAGCTGTTGGGAGTACATGTGTCCTCGTGAGGCACTAAGTCACGTGCTCGCGAGCACACATAAAAGGCCGCCACTGCACGAACCCCTTGTTGGGAGCCAGTGGCAATCTTGTCTACAAGTCATACATAGCTGCCAATACCAGACCTTTTACCTTGTGTACTCTTTTCTACGTACAATTCCTCCTATAGATTCATTGTCACGCCGATCCACACGTACGATCCTCACATCTTGCCATGCTAACTGAAGATGGTGAAATTCTGTCATTCAAGCAACTGAGAGCATTGGATGAGGAGATGAAAGATAGTGAGTGGGAAACTGACAATGATGCCAATGGTGACAATAACAATGATAAACCTGTTTCTCCTCTTACTTTTTTGTTGAATAAACTGCCAATTGAGCAGTTGAGAGAACAGCTTGGGGGAATGTGATTTGTTAAGATGGTTATCCAAAATCACCTGGAAGAGCTTGCTCCATTGTATCAGAAGTGGTGAACAGCAATACTGCTCTTCTATAATAAATGTTCTTCCTCATGTACTTCAAAATTATTCTTTACCACTAATTCCTAAGAGAGATTAAAGAAATTTTGTGATCTGGTTGAGGTGTTTGTTCCATGGAGGGATTCATAGAGACTTTGCAACTACCCATAAACAGGTGTAGTGATTCTTGTAGTATTTGTTTGATTTGCAGTACAGGTCACTTATTTCATAGTAATGCATTTCAGTGTCCATGTTGAGAATGGGAAGACCATTCTTTATCCAAACATTTGGATTCAACACAGTACAAAAGCTTGCAAAACCAGCTTGACAGTTCTGTACTCTCCTCTTTCTTTTAAAATAGTGCCAAGATATACTAGTGCTAATATTGCTAGTTAAATATGTTTTGTAATGAAAGGTATTGTCATACTGTATCACATGACTGAATGCACTGCTATAGTGCATGTGTTTCTTGACAAGTTTTTCATCCAGCACCTTCCTTACTTGTCTTCTCTCTGTTCCCGGCACTGGAAACAAAGCCTCTGCCTCACATTTTCAACCTCATGCCTCCCTTCTAACCTCCCCATCACCCCACCAAGGCAACTTCACAAGGCAAAGCCAAACTAGATGGCGTTCAGAATGAAACCAGATCCAAACCACATTAGCAATCTGGCAATAAAGCAAGAGGAAGATATCAATGCAACAGAAATAAAAGTGAATGATCCAGATCCAAACTGTGTTTTCAATCCAGCAATAAAGCAAGAGGAAGATGTCAATGCAACAGATACAAAAGAGAATGATCCAGACCAAACCCTAAAAGATGGACTTACAGCAATACTTAAACCATACTTGCTCATGCCTAATCAATCTTATTATTTCATGCTATTCTGGCCAACATGAGTTAAATGCAACCAATATTCTTGGATGAGGAGAACTGAATTTCAGTATCTGAACAACAAGTTGGTCAATAAGTCTTGCAATCTGGTATCACATTTTATTTTTATTTCAAACCCAGCTGAAGCACCAACAACATCACAAACTCACATAGGGAATTCTCCTATTATCGGCCTTCCACCACGCATGGCTAATAAAATGATTGATGCAATCAATTGGCTTCAGGCTGGTGGCAAATTTTATAGAATGCCTACCTGTGGATTCTTGATCAAACTCAACAATTGGGGCATTGTACTTGATGATGGAGCCACAATCTCTGAGTGGCAATACTTCTGCTCAATCACTTGTGGGGAACTGAATGTTTCTGCTCAGATTGTTGCGCGTCATGATCACTCTGATCTAGAGTATAATTGGGAGATGGAATTTAGACCAGACTGACCCCCTTGTCCCAAACTAGCTCTACAAAATCAGCAGACACAAGCTGCCAAAAGACAGCATTATAATCCTACCATGGTACTATTCAGAGTACTGGATATATTCAGAACAAGAACCAAGAATTTCTAGTCAGGGTTGGTAAGGGTTCAAACAATTATAAACCCCAAAAAAAGATGAAGATTATGGAAAAAGAATTTTAGGGAATCTTTAAGCAATCCATGAACCTTATTCAAAATAATACTTTAGTCTAAAGAGATACTTACAGTACATACATAATTGTTTTATACACAGTCAAAATCCATTTCAGAATGGTAAACATGGTGAGAGATAGGGCACCTCTTGGTTAGGGTCAACATACCCTAGCCTGTAATGCTCATTACAAAGTGTTCATGATCTAGAATGTCCAAATACCCTCATTAAAGATCAATGAATTCATCATAAGTCAAGTGTTCATCCAAATCCTTTTCTGCAGCTTGCTGCATTTCCTCTGGATGAATCCATCCAGTTCACTGTGCTCCTGCTGAGACAGAAGAGAGATTCTATCATTCAAGCAGCACAGAGAGCCAAAATGCTTCTTGTCAAGAAATATCCAGTAAATGTTGTCAAACATGAAGCTTTTCCTTGCTGCAAGGCAGAACCAAAAAAGTCCATTTTCAATTAATTGCACTATTCAATCTGATAGGCATTGACACTCCATGATGGAGCCTTTCTGTATTTGCCGGTCCTCACAATCTCGGAGCGCCTTGAGGAAGAGTTTGAGATGCAGTTTGTAATGGGCTAGAAAGGCATTCAAGTCTGATCCCCAAGCCTCAGGGCTTTTGAGAAGCTGCCACCATGGAGTGGTGTAGGTGAATTCAGCTGGGGCAACATAAATGTGATCACTGATTGACCAAGGCCAACCACACAGAGTATGACAAACTGTGGAGCACAATCATGATCATTCAGTTTCATTAAGAAATTTCAAAATGTATCCTGTTGTTCCCCTGTTTTCATACTAGATACAGGCTTGGGCTCCCTGGTGAGCAAGGCAAATGCTTGTTGTATGTGTTTTCTTCATGTGGCTTTATATTTCCTCATAATTTTATCGTCTCTGCTGCTTTAAAGAGCATTGCCATTGCATAATTGACTGATAGTATTGGAGGGAGAATAGGATCAAGAAAATCTGTTAGAAAATTGTTGGAATTTCTATATTCTTCCATTGGAAATCGCTCACTATTTCCATAGCAGAAATGGGGAGAATTTGTAAACTGTAGATCCACTAGTCCCAATACATTTATGTTCGAATATACATTTATCCAAATCCATGGTTGTTTGGAAGTTTAAAAATATATATGTTCTGAATTCAGAAACATAGCTTCTGATCCTCAATGTAGAAATCAGGAAACATTTAAACCCCTGATCAACAAATATATCTAGGAACATTTGGGATACCTTTTCAGGTTTATAAATGTTTATAGTATAGAAACCATTATAGTATAGAAACCATTATAGTATAGAAACCATTATAGTATAGAAACCATTATAGTATAGAAACCATTATAGTATAGAAACCATTATAGTATAGTTACTCCAGCAGACACTGGAGAGATTTCAACTAATATGCAATACTACATACATCAAACTGCCCAATCCACCTATAAAAAGGAAACACTTCAAGTGCAGTTGAGAAAGGTAGTCAGCAGAGCAGAATCTAGTTTGAGTCTTTCAGAATCTTGGCTGACAGGTATTGTGTAAAGGCTTGGTTTGTGGATTGCAGGTAGGCTAATTATATGAATCTCATCCCAATTCATCTGCAAAATCAGCAAATCCAGTACCCTCTCATGCCAAATTTCATGAGCAGAGAACATGGCAAAAAAAACCCTCCAGCAGCTGCTCTGATTGTGGGTGAATATGCATCTTATTTGCCTGATCTTGATGCCTGATGCATGAGTATACTCAACCAGATCATTGAGTTTTAATGTAGTGCAATACACATCTCTATTGAATGTAAAGATCAGCTTTTGAAACAATTGGATTGGAATCAAATCTCTGTCAAGCATATGTTGATATGCCCAATCACTGCTGTATGAAAGTCAGAGCTTTTGCAAAAAGAAATGCATAATTAGTAGTTCAGAAAGCTGTATGCTTTGTAAATCAAGCAATTTCATGACTTTGCAGCTAGCTGGTAGTTAGCAATAGACATTGATTAAGGTATGGAAGGGGGTGGTAGCATATGAATTATTAACTTTGTTGGCATTCTCATCATCATCTTATTGCTCATTGTGTTCCAATTACACAAGGTCTTGCATAAGAATTGAATATTTGTGATGAAGTTGCTTCATCTGGCTGCTAATATAGAGTTCTAATTCTATAAGAGCCCTATCAAAAATCAAGAATATAGTGCATTTGAAGCTCTCATGAATCAGTAAAATCTTTTCAACATTACACTTGTTGATTTGCTGCACAAATGCTTTGTATTCACAGTATTTATTCTTCTCAATCAGTATATTACAGTTATTTGGCACAGCATACTTCTTTGCCTGGTCAGCATAGTGCATCTTAATATGCATGTTTGGTCAGTGTTTTAAAGCATGTAACATCTTACCTGCTTTCAGAACAATACTGACAGTGTTGATCAAAATGTTCTCTATCAGAAGTGTCATAATCCAATTGAACACTGGTGAATTCTGCCATGATCTCAGCATCTATACTGCCCAGCTAGCTGACTGTGGTGCCTCAGCAGTCATGACAGTAGCATCTATCACTTTCTGAAGCATAGTTCAGATGTTGGCAATCACACTTTTAAGTTTATTGTACCTGACAGATGTCTGAGAAGTTAATAGTGAATTACTTCTTGTAATAGCATTAAAGATTTTAGCAAGCAACAAATACAGAATGTCAGGATCAATTAACTGTTCATTAAAGAAGTTATAAAGAGCCTGCTGAACAACAGTCTGAATTCAGTCAGACTTTAGAGCAAAGTAGAGTATAATTGGAATCACAATTGAAGCTCAGACATGTTTCTGGATTTGGTAAAACTTCAGATAAGTAATTGAGGACTGCAGTCAGGCTCAGCATCTTCAAAATAAAAATCTCTGTAGAGTTTGACAATATTCCTTCTGCCCCTCAGATGTCAATATATATGATATTAATAATGTATGTGCAATTTTGGACAGGCCTGAAAATTCACTATAACAAAGATCAGAGAGGAAAAATGTCACCAGATTCAGTGCCAGGCAGATCTTCAAAACTGGAGGACTTTTCTTGGCCAATCTATAGGTCTTCCACAGTGCTTCTTGCTTGTGAACAGTCCACTTCATCTCAATTTCAGCCTGCAAATTGAGTAGCTGGTAATAGTATTAACTGTATTTCATTAAGTTGAAATTCATATTGAATCTCTTCACATCAGAGATAGTACAGCTCTGACAGAAGACTGTTACAGTAGAGCATTTGATTTCAGCATTGTTATTTTGCTGCAGCATGTCATCAAGATAAGCAATACAAGAAGTAATGACCCTGACAGTTTCTTTACCAGTTATTACAATGTCAAATCCTCTTTCAACTGCTTGTAAACCAGGAGTCAATGTCTCCATAATATCAGAAAAATTTGTAGCATGAGGCCTGAGAGCAATTGTATATATATTGTTTTATTATCTTCTTTCAGAATTATTAAGTCCTGCAGAAATTATATAGAAGCCAGTTACATTTCAGTACATGTTTCAATATAGATTAAATCCATCAATAAACAGCAGGAAGGGAATGGATATAGTTCTCTTAATAGAGTCATCTGAGCAGAGCATCTTGATCAGCATATTTCTTCTGTATGCTGTAATTTCCAGTTCACTCTGAAGCAGAGTACTAAGTCAGAGCTCTTGTACAGATAATATGTGATGAATTATATTCATTACTTGTCATACAAAGAATTCATTTGTTTCTGAGAATTTGTAGCTATCTGATCTGTCAAAGATGTAGTCAAGATGAACATCCAGTTGAGCTAGAATGTTGTCTTTATATATGATGTGAGTTTTCTGATCTTTCAGTAAGAGCAGCTTGTTCAGGCAAAGTGAAGATCTCAGTAAATGAATTCTTTTATTAAAGCTGCTGGCAGTAATAGTGTACTGAACAATAAGAATAATTTCACTGGATTTTGTGCAGGCCAGTCTCCAGTTCCAACCCATAAATTGAATTCTTTTAATATGGATTTCTTGTTCATTCCAAGTGCACTTATATGCAGCATTGTTGCACCTGAAATAAACAAAATCAGAAGAAAAGACTGATGTCCTGTCAGAATACCATGCAAAGTCATCTGAGAAATATTTAATGGAGCTCCCCCAGCTTCATGATTGCCACAATTCAGTTGGGTTGTCAACTAGGTCAGCCATACCAATATATATCTTCTTGCAAAATAAAGGAGACCTTGCCAGTAATGACAAAAGAGCCACAGGATTCTGAAAGAATAAATTAGATGTGAGAGATGTCTGTATTAGTCACTTCTCAGCAGGCAAAAAAGTTGGCATTTTCAATGAAACAGCTGGTATGAATGCCCATCAGATAGGAAGCATAGAGAATTGAGCTCTGCATTTCTTCTTCAACATGCTCAGCTCTAATGATAGAGATCTCAGTGCACTAATATCTTTGAGAATCTGTAAGACTTTCCACAGTATCTTATAGTGTCAGCAAGATATTTCCAATTTTTTGCACCATAATTCTAAAGTGAGTGTGAAGTGGTCCAGCATTTCATCAGGCTCTGCATGTGCATGGACTAGAACCTCCAACAGGTCATTTATTATAGTCAGAATATAGATCTCAGCTGGCTGGTTACCTAATGAATTCTCTAGTTGTGAATGAAAATCAGAATCTCCATTGCCAATCAGATGCACTGAATGTAATATAGTCTGTAACCAGGGTTTGGATTCAGGCTCTTCATACTGTTGTGATTTATTGTTATCAACTGATCTCATGGGTAGAGCTGCCACTACTTCTTGTATAATCTTCTGCATTCTGATATCTTCTGGTTCAGAATGAGTGTCAAATAGAGTATTGAGTGGAGCATCAGAGGCATCTAAAAGACTTGCTGCATTCTGTATACAGTAATTAGAATGATGCAGACTGACAGAGAATTCAAGATCTTACATTTAATTCTGACTTCTTAGTTTGATTGTTCAGCTGAATATTGGGTTCTACTGAAGATAAAATATAATTGCAATCTTGCAATTCCTGCAATAAATAAGCAGACTGTCTGTGCCTTTAAAACTGCAAGACTGGAAATGACAAATAAAGTCATCTTCTCCAAAACATATAGTTCTCTATGTGCCTCAAGTATTTCAGATCTTGCATATTTGCTTAAGGTTTATATGCTGGTTTCTGCAGTAGTTAAGTTTTAAGTTACAAGAACAGTAAGGATTGCTGCAGAATTGCTTTAGAACAAAGTATATAGAAATTAGAGAGAAAATTGCTGTTTAATTGGAGAATCAGATATATTATAGCAAAGTTGAATGTTAGAGCAGCTACAAAATATGTCAACTGTACTACAGACCAACTGTAATATTCTGATTATCTAGATCTGTAATTAGCTCTAAGAGATGCAAGATCAGTAATAATCTGCATTCTTCTAGATAATCAGCCTATTTCAAAGAAATCAATCACTTAGCAGTATTAAATTTTAGAATGTAGAGAAATATGGATACAGATCTGAATAGTAACTTGAGCAGTCAAATATGCTCCAAGTCAACTATATAATAGATAGCAAACTCCTCTAAAATTCAAGCATTCACTCTTATTCATTCTCAACAGCAATCCAATAGCCAAAATGTTAGAGACACAGAGTACACTAGCATTAAAAAGAACAGCTTGCATCTTCCCATGGGCTCAATTATACAATATGCTAAAGGCTCAAGAGACATCATTTAGTTTAAATACAAGTACCTGAACTGAAGCATTCTCTGATCATACAAAGATTAAAAAGTAGGTTCAAGTAGTGGAGCACAAGATACAAAATCAGATGCAATGGGCCTATATATTAACATTAAATACTGACCCAATTCCCAATACCATTCAGAAGATGCTGAGTCTTGAGAACTGGAAAGCAAGAAACAACTTATATTTTTGTGAACTTTCCAGGCAGATGTTGAATCTCTGTAAAGATTGAAAATGTAAGATCTTGAGTAGCTTGAAGATCAGAACAATGTTTCTAAACTTCTAGTTATGATATAAACTGACCTCATTTGCAGAATCATGTCAGAAAATATATTGAACTCAGCTTGACTAAGAATCCCAATTTCAGACTTTATGAAATAACTGATCAACAAAAGCTGATCAGTTATTTTATCTAATTGTTCAAGTGGAACCAATTCTGTGAAGCCTTTTACTGGATCAAGCCATGTGTTAATTTTAAGAAGTCAGCTCTACAAGAGAAATGGTATTTTGAATATAAGTTAATAATAAATCTTAATTACCATGATTTCTGCTTTGACAGTTATGGCAATAGGTATGTATGCAAATTTAGCAGCATATATGAAGCTGTATCTTAATGACAACAGTCTGAAATGGGATGCATCCACTCCATTAATCTACATCTGGAATTCTGTACTCAAGCTCTAGAACTGCTTGACACAGAAACCAGAACTGAGAGATATCAATTCAGACAACTTTGCCCAACAGAAGGTCTGATCAAGAAAGCCAAAGACTGTTTATGTTGAGACTTTGCCAGGAATTCTGGATGCAGTCCAGTTAATATCTAGTATGCTGTCCAGGGAACCTGATTTACATCCAGCTTAGACAGTGCAAGCTCCACAGGAGCCAGAGAATGATAATTCAGACAAGAAGAATCAGAATCCTTTGCAGAACATTACAGAGAATTATTTTAAGACTGTAACAAATTAGCCTGTCTGTTTAAAGAGATCTGCATCAGCCACAACTGGTCACATGCTCCAAAAGAGATGCAGATTCTAGTTGAATACATAAAAAGATGCCTTCTTGAATTAAAATTGACTGTTAGTTTGTACTTTAAAATAGATTTCAGGGTTTAATATCTAGACTTTAATGCAATGCTCTGTTATATCAATGCTTGCAAGAGCTGAATTTCACTATATTTAATATATATCTCTTTATCATTCACCATAATTAGCTGTAGGAGCTCTAAGCAAAATGAGTTAGTACTTAGTAATATATAAATAGACACATTCTAATTAGGAAATTCAAAACAATCAAGCAGACACATTAGATATAATAATTTCTTTTTACACAAAATCTCTCTCTTCTTCTCTTTTTTTCTTTCTTTTCTTCTCTTGAGCTCATTATATTTCTTATTATCCCTCTCCCTCTATTCCAATATCAAGGTAAGTGGTGGATTTCAGAATAAAATAAGGAACTGCAGCAAACTGAAGAACAATATATGCAGAAATAGCAAAAAATAACTCTACAAACATGTAAATTGGCAGCAGCTCAGAACAAGTACTTCTTAATGTTCACAAAGAAGAAATCAGAGCAAAAGCTCTTGACTGTTAAAGAGGAGCCTACTATAATAGATAATATATTCTGTGGCTACTGTTTAACATTTGTATATACAGTACACATCAAAAAGTCTTGTTCCTGCAAGCAAGAAATCACAAAGACCTGCACCAATTGTGCAGAAGATAAAAAAGCCTGTACTTCTGTCTCTTCAGAGCTGCAGAAGAAAGTGACAGTATTGCTGTCTGATTATAATAATTTCCTCAGGCTTAAGAATGTGATACTTCAAGAGAAATTGAAAGCCAGTATGGTGGAACAGGCCACTAGTCTTAATGAATTACTTGCCAAAATGGCACTTCTGTCAGTCTGAACTGATGAATCTCTCTCTTCTCCCCCTTTCAATACTGAAGTTGGTGCTGCCACTTTAACAGTATTGAAAAAGCTTGTGTTCATTTAAGCCAAACAAAAAGAGCTTGTGGAGCATACATTCCACTCTGTCAAGATAGGTTGAACTGATTGGATATCATACATTTAACTCATGCTAATGTAGTTATATATATAGAATATTGAAAGAACCTTGGCCAACATTCATCAGAACTTAAAGTTCAATTGTTTATCTTCTGTAGTCAGTATACTTGATACAATATTGGAATGAATTGAACTGACTTTAATATTTGATAACAGAAAAAGCAAAAGACAGAAGAAATCATTTATAAATCAGCAGTCAAGATAGACTGATTTGCTGCTGCTCTGCTCTTTGCTGTATTCACTTCTCTCTCTCTCTCCCCTACTTCAATCACACCTTCTCTCTTTATTCAGTTGCAGCTGAATATCTCTGCATCAGGCCTGTCTCTAACTGGAGGCAGTGTAGCCAATTTGCTTGAAAGTACAATCAAGCAGCCTAAATAAGCTCACCCTGATAATTCTTCTGCACTGGTTTTACACCCTGTCCCTGAACTAGAGACTCCAACCAGGGAGGCTCAAATTTAAAAAAAAAAAAAAAAAAAATTCATTACAATTCAGATTAGAGTGGTATCCGGTTCCGGGATTTCCTGTCCTGGTCCCAGATTCCTGTCCCAATTCCTGTCCTGAGGATGGGATCAGGTTGAAGCTCAGCTTAATGGGATGGGACTGGGTTGTTTAACAGCATATTGGGACAGTTTTGTGGGAACTGGGATTGGGATGGGATTGGGACCAGAATCAAAATCTAGCTAGTAGGACAGGCCCGGGATCTGACATGACAAAATGGGATAGGACCAGGATTTCAATATTGTATATGGGATGGGACCAGTAAAGTGTAGGATGGGACTGGGAACCCTGGTCCCATTTGTGTTGTCAAAAAGTAATGAAATTTGGTAATGGTCCTAACATAATTTTATCAATTTATTCAACTTTGGAAAAGTACTGAAATTTGATAATGCTCTTTACATAATTGGATCATATTGCAAGCTATTAGCTACTTGAGTCTATCTATTGATAATGTTGATGTATTTTCTGTTTCTCATCTGGATTGAGTAGTGGATTTAGCAGGCTTGCAATCTCTTCCTGTACAATCTCTGGAGTATCTTGATCATCTTGATTGTCTTGGATGACTTCCTTGGCCAACTCCTCATGTGATATGAGTGCTTCATCCAGCATATGCACCTTATCTCCATGTTTAAGCAGCATGATCTTCTTGATTGTAGATGCATGGAGCTGCAATCATCAATAATGACATGTATCCCAAGCAACATTGAAAACCCATTCTACCCCAACTCCTGTCAAAGATATAGCCAGAATGTCTCTTGCCATTCAAGCAACAGTTGGAAAATCAGGCTCTAGCATCCTCTACTGTTCCAGAATTGGAGCTTGAGGTGATGTCAAATTCTCATCATTTAAATATCACTCCATTTCATTTTGGAAATTTGCTCATCTTTGATGGGGTCTCTCAAAAATCATTTGCTCAATATTCTAGAGAAGTTAGCAGAGAAGAAATCAGAATAATACTTATAACAAACATACATCATTTACATCAAGTATTACTTCTCTTGGCTGTTCATATTTCTCATAATGCTTTTTGTAAAACCTCAAAATATATTGTTGGTATGTTTCATGCTCATCACTGGTCCAATCCTCTGAATCATATGCTCTCATGTGGTGTGATGGATGGAGGGCAGCAGCTACAGCTAGCAGCTCACTCTTTGGATGCTCAGTATCACCATAGTATTTCTGGAATTTCAAGTTGGCAGCTTTAATAGCTTCTTGAATGTTCTCTCTTGTTGTCAACTGTTGGGCCTTGTCCTTCTCTCTTTCTAAATGCTGGAAAAGATGATTGTATGTTGCCCATACCAGATGAATTGTTAGGCCTGTTGTTTTGGACAGTACCTTGATAAATTGACTGAATGGCTGCAACAGTCCAACCATATACTCTAGCTGCTTCCAGTCATGGTCCAATAAGCAAAGTCTTTGGTATTTTGGTGATGAGTTCTGGATCCATGAGTCCACAGCTTGTCAAAGCAACAAGACATGAACACACATCTTATAGGTGAAATTCCATCTTGTGCAAACATCTTGAATCATCTTGTGCTGGTTCTCTTGTTGATATTCTCAGAAACATGCAGCAAGTTGAGGGGAGGCATTGGTTGCATTGGCAACAAGATAAATCTATTGTCAAGCAAAGATTAGTAAATCAACTCAAGTATATCAAGATCATTACCAAATTTTGTTATCTTTCTAAGAGTATTTGCAAATGTGTCTGTTGATGCTAGGTCATCAGTAATTGAGCTCTCATCAAAGGTAGTGGGTAGAGTATTATTGTCTGGCTGAATCTTGAGATTGCAAACCAGCTCTTGAACCACAAGTTGAATCACATGAGCAAGACAGAGTATTGTTTCACTCTCTGCATTTTAATCAGTTATCTTGTTCAACTGCTGCAATGCTGGCCTCAACTGATGTGTAAGATGTGCTTGCATGGTACCATTGTTTGATGTATTGTCACTTGTAATTACAAGAAGATTGCTTTCAAGTCTCCATGCTGCTAGTGATTGTTGGAGAATCTCTGCCATATTCTTGCCAGTATGAGCATTCTCTAAACTTTCAAAATCCAGTAAATGCTCATGGTACTCCCAATCCTTTGTAATGTAATAACCATTAATTGCCATAAAGGCAAGGTTATTGGGACTTGTCCAATTATCCACTGTCAGAGATACCTTGGTTGTTGAGTCATGGTCAAAGAGAAGATTTCAGAATAGCTGATTGTACATATCATTCATGACCTGATATAATGTTCCTCATGTGGGTATCTGTAAAGCCATTGCAGGATTGAGCATGGTTATTAATGTGCAGAATGCTGGATTCTCAATAGCACAAAATGAGAGATTCAAGAATATTAATGTTTGCACAAGCTGCTGGAGAAAATTGTCTTGATTGCATTCAGGAACAGGCAGATCTGAATCTGTTTGAGGATGCTTCAGAAACTGTTGCTAAGACACCAGGACTGTTACTAAAATTTGTTACATTTGGGAAATTAGAATCCATGACCTACCATCATGTTAACCAGAGTGTTACCCTGTCTGTCATCAGTTTTTGTACAATCTTTGCTCATTAAATGCTTCTTCAGACCACTTGTACCATTTTGAGAAAAGCTTGAATGACTGAGAAAGGTTTAGCAATGCTTGCAAATCACCTCTGGAGTGCCCTTAGAATGCTCTGCCACCTGATCAAATTTTGACCAAAAATCAGAATGGTGTTGCTTTGCCTTCCAGTTGGGGTCACCATGCTTCTTATCATTAATCAACTGAGCAGCTTCAGTAGTCAATCATCAAGTAACAAACAACTTATGATGCAGCTCCTTCCACAATACAAATTGTTTTTTTCCATGTTGAACTATGGTCAATTCTGAAGGAATCTCTGTAGATTTTGCTTGTTTGCTAGCTTCAGCCATTAGGTTTTTCTTTTTTTTTTTTTTTTTCACAATCAAATTGATTTTTCTCTAAGTTCTGCCTTAGTCAAAAAAGTAACAAAATGTGGTCAGAGCCTACACAAAATTTGACAATCTCTAGATAGTTAGCCTCATTTTACTCTGTAAGTACAGCAACCAACTACAAAATCTTCTTCTTCTACAAAATGGAACATTCTTCTTCAGGAAAATAAAACATTTTGCCAATTTAATGGCACCCCATTCTCAAATTAATATGAAAAAAGAACTAAAAACCTAACTTCCTCCTCTAGATATCAATAATCCAATCATTCTCCACCTCATTGTTCTCCTCATCATCCTCATCAGAGGACACCACAACCTCAAAATCATCTTCCTCCACCTCCTCTGGGGCAGGTGGGCTGTTGTTGTCTTCACTCAGACCCTGTAATTGACCCAGAAATTCTCTCATCTTCTCCTCAACTCTCTCTCTCAACACACTGACTACAGCAAGACAATCATGACCATGGGCCATGACCTTGGCCTCAAGCCTGACTATCATTTGGCAGAATTGGGCCTCCCTATGTGCAGCAATAGGATGCTGTGCCTGGCTTGTTTTGGCCTAAATATGTCAGAACTGTTACCAAATTTCATTACTTTTGGATCCTATCTTCTTTTTCTGCCAAGCTTCATTCTCAGTTTCTGTAGCCTCTTCTTGGTAATGCTTCTTCTCTTCCTCCCTCTTCTTTTGCTGAGAGACCATGAGCTGGTGCTCATGGTACTTCTTTGACTTGCCCTTGGCAAATTGCTTGACCATCAACTCTTCAATGGCTTTATCTTCAATTGTCTTGCAATTCTCCTTGCTGCTATTCTGCCTGCAATAGATGTTAATATAATTCAACACAAACTACTGAGGGTGCATACCACTCATGTTTTGCTTGAATCCTCTTCAGCATGTCATGGTGTGCCTTGCAATCTACCTCTCCTGTCTTGAATATGTCTTTTTAATGGCCTTCCAAGGCCTAGTGGTGCTCCTGTGCTGCATGGATCTTCTCTCTCATTGAATATTGTTTTGGCCCCATCTTCACAATTGTATGTGATGAGTTGAATTGCTGGCTACAGAATAATGAGATTATAGAGTATATTAATCAAGTACTTGCATAGAATGATTACTATACATATTGTTTACATTCTACAGGCACATTGCTATAGGCAAGCTCAATGTGTTGTTGCTATACTGGCTACAGAATAATGAGATTATAGAGTATATTGACCAAGTACTGTAGAATGGTTACTATACACATTGTTTACATTCTACAGGCATGTTGCTATGGGCAAGATCAATGTGTTGTTGCTATGCTGGCTACAGAATAATAACATCAGGTCAGTCTCTCTTCTCTTCTCTTTCTCTTTCTCTTCTTCTTCTTTCTCTTCAGGGCTAATGTTGACAATTCCCTCTTCCCCCCCCCCCACCACCTTTTTATTTACTGTACTTTAATGTCTGTGTGTACAACAAACATATACTGTGACAAAATGGGTCATATTAAGAGGTGAGTGCTTGCAGAATACTGCTCTGGTGCATATTGTTTACTAACAAGATGTTAGTTTTCCCCATGCATGTCCATTTTGCACAGCTGGAGAGGAGTGGCACAAGGCTGCATTGAAAGAATGGGCCCTGAAGAAGAGCAATTGGTGTAAAGCCAATAAAGATATTGACCTGGCCAACTTTGACCAGAAGAATTCCTGCCCCTGCCCCCCTGTTCAAAATTGGAAGGCTGGCACTTGTATGTCAAAAAGTAACAATTTTTGGTAACAGTCTTGATGCTAATTGGTGAAAATAGATGCTATCAAGGAAATCCACCACTTCCAGAGCTCTACTGAGCTAATCTTGCTGGTGGCCCCATTCCAGCAATTGGTTTGGGAAATTACTTTGTCTTGTCACCAAGAACATGAATATTGCTGGCAATGTACTGTCATTAAGTTACTTCAGGAGGTGGCTGAAGCAATCTTGTGCACTCTGTTTGAGTGTAAGTCACTCTTAGCAATGGCACCAACAATTATACTGAGTAATATAGGCTCTATTATGGCAATGGTGCACTGTAAGTACATTATGGTTAACACCAATGATATGAAGCTCATTCTTGGCATTGATGTCAAAATTGGGTTGAACTATTTCAGCCTGATTGATGTGCCTGATTGCTCTGCCCCTGCTGTCATCACCTGCCACCTGTGTGCTGCCTCTGCCCCACCAACTACCACTGCTGCCACTTCACCACCACTGCCATCACTCACCACTGCCTCTCTGTCTTCTTCTGGTGCTGTCAGGATCTCCACCCATCAAATAGCAGGTATTAGAGCTCCTGTCCAGTTCATAAAGCTGGTTCTGGAGGAGCAGGAGGAGGAGGAGGAGAAGAAGAAGGAGAGGGAGGAGGAGGACAATAATGATGATGAAGATGATAACAATGATGATTAACTTGCCATTTAGGCAGTTCCTGTTTGTTTGCTGGCTTTGACTATTAGTTAGTTTTAATACTTGGTTTCTTTTGACAATCAAATTGATTTTTCTATGGGTTCTGCCTTCATCAAAAAAGTAATGAAATTTGGTAATGGTCCACACAAAATTTGATCAGTTTGACTCTTCCCTATGAATTTGACACAATGGGACTGGGAATCCTGGTCCCATTCCAGTCCCACTATGGACCTGGCTGGGATGGGAAATGGGAGTCTACCATCTCTGCTGGGATGGGATGTGGGACATAATTTTCTATTTGAGGATGGGACCAGGAAATAATTTCTGGGATAGGGATGGGAACAGGACCTCAAGCTCTTGAGTGGGATGGGATATGGGACTGAGATTTCATATTTGGGATCCCAGCTGTTTCTAAATTCAGGATGGGGACCAGGTTTAATGGGAAATAGGATCCCGTCCCTGTCCCGAATACCAGCCTAATTCAGATTGTGCAGGTGGTTTGTAATACTTAGTTAGTTTCTAGTAATTGAAAAGCTTCCAAATCAGGTTCAAAACCCTCAAGTTTAAAAATATATATGTTCTGAATTCTATATGTTTCAGACCCTTTATACATGCATTGTAAATATATGATTGATCTACAGTTTCAAGCTTGCAACCCGTGGTTCAACAGGTTGTGTTGGATAAACATTTTCTGACAGTTGCCTGAAAAGCTCATTTTTCCAGTATGGTTATAAACTGGGGTCACGTGATAACTAGGCAACTGTGCTGATGATGTTTCTCTTCTATTCTTTCTATATGTGACAGTGTTCATGCTAACATATCAAAGCCAATCTTCTTACATTATCAGATGGCGGAGCTTTCGCCAGATGAAAAATCCATCATCAAGGACTACCCCTTAGTGGGCTCACTTGATGATTTATGCGGCTTGCTACAAGAAGCAGAGCCAATGTACAAGTCACATTGAATCTCATCCAACACTACCATTAATTGTCTTGACTGACTCTATCAAAATGCGCTTTCAAAACTCCTTCATGGTCTTCTGGGAGCAGATGCAGCCTTCAACCTTCACTCACAGATTGCCAATCAAAATGTGGATTCAGATTTGGCAGACCTATTCAAGCACATCTGGCAAGGCCACCTCCACTATGATCACTGTCAACTGCTAGTCCAGCTTGTCATCCACAAGGCTCCTGACATTGACATATGAAAGACTGTCTTCAATCTTATTGCTACTGTTCCTCAAGAAACTTCTCCAGCAAGTGTTCTGCCCTCATTTGATGCTTCACCAGTCAGATTTGTGTTGTAGTCACAGAAAGAACCTGAACAGACATGCTGGCTTGTGGAAGAAAGAATCTTTGAAGAGATTCATAGCTGCACCTTTTGAGGTGTGGAGGGGTTCTTAATCAAATATTTTGAAAGGATGGACTGGAGTGCACAAGCAGATGCCATCTGGCAACACATTCTGGACCCCACAAGTGACAGTAATTGGGCTAAGTTCCCCAATCCCCTGGTACAGAAGAATGTCCTCAAATGGGGGTTTTGGCTCCAAGATGATTTGCTCTCAGATGTGTGCAGCATTTGCTTCTCCACAACAAGCAAGGCAGATCTTGTCAGCTCTGACACAGAGCAACAAGTCAATTCTTTGCTAAGGGCCTGAGTTCAGGGTGATTTGGGAGAAAAACATGACTGGAAGGATATCTATGTGGTAGGCAAGTTGAAACAGTCATTGGATGAGATCCAGACAAAAGACATGCTGCTTCAGCTTGCACTCTATGTGCAGGAAGTGTTTATCACCCAGCCAACTCAGCTATTTGTCCATGCATTCACTGTCTGCAGGACCAAGTTTGAGGCCTGGGTGTTCAACTACTCCAGGCCCTACAGCTCTGGCATGCTTGATATCTATAAGAACATGAAGCAGTTTTTCCAGGTGATCTTGGGCTACACTATACTTTGAGGCATGGCAGGAGCCTAGAAGGAATCCTTTTTCATCAAAGTTGTAAATATTTGAAAGCTCAAGATTATATTGATTGATTTTCTGCTCCAACTAAGTAGTCAACTAGTTAGCCAGCATCAACAACTGCAATCACAATTAATCAAATAAATCATCCAATTACAAGCATATAGAAGTGCTTAAAGCACTGATAGTTATCTGCTATCTGCCTATTTTGATTAATTGCTTTGAGATAAAAGCATTTGATCTTGTTATTATGCCACTCATGAAATTGGTTAACCCAGTTGATTCCAACATCCTCTCCTGTCATCTCTTGTACAATATTTCATAGAATCTGAGGTGTAATGGCAAGGCCGCAGCTAGAGAGCTTGTTTATATAATTCAGGAGCTCTGCCTCCTGTATATCAGAGAGCTTTTTCTTATATCAGGAGGCCACTTCATCCTGAGCAAGTTGCAAGCCTTTATGCTGTCCACACAGGGTCTCTCAGTTGACTAAGTACTTTCTCGCAGTCACAGCATAATTTGGGGCCTCTTGTGATTCAAGATCTTCAATTGCAAGCCTAATTGAGGTGTTGTTGACCATGTTGTTGCATATTGAATGTTGAACATTGGAGGAATTTGGTGGTGGAATGTGTGGCTTGTTTTGTGGTGAACTACCTTACAGCCTATGAACTGTGTGATTGAGCACAAAATAAGTGACTAAACTAAGGCACACCCACAAACCAAAAATGACACTAAAATCACATGATGGAAAAGAGATGCAGCAGAGATATTGCATGTGTAGGGAGTGTCATCCAAGACTACTATCAACTGGATAAAAAGGATAGGAAACAGCTAGGATAAACAAAAAATTCTTGCCACCTGTCTCTTGAATGTCACTTCTTCTTGTACTTGATCAACAAATCATGAATGGTATCCCTGATATGCTGGAGGAAAGGCTGCAGTTGCTTGATATAATTTGTCAAGTGGTTGATTTTCCTGGAGGGGTCAGTACCAAGCTGCTGGTAATAATAAGGGGTGGAGTATTCACTCATTCTTATCTTGAAGACTGAGTTCATGTTAGCATCATAACTGCTTAGCTATTCATGATCAATACTCACTCAGCTTTCAGAGTCTGAACCTGTTCAGAGAGATCTTTGACTTTTCAGAGAACTTTTTCCAATGGTGCTTCAGAAAGATCCAGAATGAGGTCTGGAATATCTATTTTCTCAAGAGTTTTGGCCTCATCCATGGCAGGAAGTGTGGAGTTTGTAGTGCTGTCCAAGAACACTACTTTGCCAAAATCAAGAACTGGATTAAGGAAATCTGGATCCAGATAGAAAAGAGGCAAGTCTTCCTCTAGAAGTTGGCCCAGTTCCTTTGCAAGTGCTTCAAGCTGCTCATCATCAAGTTGCTGGAGGTAGTCCATCACAGACAAGACAGAGAGCATTTGGTTGTGAGCAATGCAATAAAAGGAGTATTTTGCAAAGAGGAAGATAGTGCAATGCTGCATCTGGGAAGATTATATACAGAGGTGTGGTCAACTTATATGCTGTCTATTTATTCAGCTTTGGCTTTCTCTAGTTCAATTGTTCCCAGCCTGTGACTGCATCCCATTGCTTTCCCCTGGTAGGTGGGTCTCAGACAAGGGAAGAGGGAGAAGTGCTCTGAAACAGAAAGATATTGGTTACAGGCAAATTTCTCTTCAAAATTCATGATATAATTTTCTTATAGTTTGTGTACTTTCTAGCATGATAAAAAATAAGTTCACCAGAAATATAAAGAATTTGTTCATGACAAGAGTTTGTCTTGATGTTTCACTTCAAGAGAAAGAGTCAGTAATACACTTCCTGCAACATCATCAGCTCAATCAAGTTTCAACAATGGTGTCAGGTCACAGCAAACCATATTACATCTGGAAGAAAAACTATATTATTGAGTTGAGGAACCAGGAACACAGCTGGCAAGCAATAGTGAACTTGTTCAATGAAGTTGTTGATGCTGATTGACAACAGACAGAAAAAGCTATTGAATTGCAGTGAAAGCACATCAGGCAGTGTGGAGGTGATACATCAGACTGTAAGACAGGAAATCATAGCTCCAAGCCACCTAATGTAAGTACTAAAAAAAAATTCTCCATGCAAGCTTCCCTTGCAGACTGTTGAAATAGGAACAGTCTACCATCAGTGGCCTGAGCATCTTGATTCCTAGCTCTAACTGTAATTGTTGCACTAATTAAATGAAGATACAAACAGACAAGAGAACTGGGTAGACAAACACTAAGAGAAGGGAGAAGCACTTGCTGGAAATGCTGGAGTGTGTTTGTTTGATGCTCAGTGCTAGATATAATTAGCAAATCCAAATTTATTCCAGATGGCTATCAGAATAAGCATTCTTCTGAATGAGATATAAATACCAATTCAATACCCTCTTTGGGCTTTAGGAGTATCCTCATTTTCCAAGTTACTATTCAACAGCATCTACTTGAATGGCAAGCAACCAAACTGTTCCTCCCCACCAGTAGGTAGGAGCCACCAGAGCATCAAATCCATAAGATTATTTAACTGAATTATAGACTGGTGCATGTCAGGTTATACTTGACATTAACTTCCTCTGGGGGGTGTTTATGTGAGAGTCTCAAGATGCTCACTATATTACTGACCTGCAGAGAATGTTAGCCAAAGCAAGTGAAGCAAATCAAAGAGCATGACTTACTCAAAATAAACTTCTGGAATGTTATAATCAGACAGACATGGAGTGAAACCAGCTGATAGATCAACACAAGCAGCTGGAAGAGCAGTATAGACAGCTTATAGAGCAGCATGAAAAGCTCTGAAAGATGCACATTGAGTCTCTTGTGCTTAGAGAAGAGCTTATAGGTGAATTATCCAATGCTGTTGAATCACAGAATGTGGTGAATACAACAATTGTGATGTTGGAAGCTGAAATTGGAATCCACTGGTGGCATTCAATTTCTGCTCAGAATGACAGTAAGGAGACAGGTGGTGAGGTTTGACATGTGTTTCTACTAGCAGGTGGATGTGTGATTTCTATCTGGATAATGTTTGTATTGGTCAATCATTGCTTCTTCATATGCAATTAGAAATGTATGTACAACCTGAAAGGTGTGTAAGCATCTAGTGGAAAGCTGGTCATTTAAAGTTATTAAGATTAACAGAGCCACCAGCCATGCCACAGTTAACATCACTTATTTAGGATCTGGATACTTAGACACATGCTAGTGATATCATGTTTCATTGGTCAAACCACTACTAAGCTAGATTGAACACACCATAATCCAAAAGGCAACCAATAAGCAAGCATGTACAGCAGGGAAAGCAGCCAATGACAGGTGTTCAGCACCATTTTTGATTGAGACAAAAGATATTGCTGTTGAAGCAAGAGAAGTACAGGTTGCAAGGCTACTGCCAGAGCTTTGTGAGATTCTTTAAGGTGGTCTGGATATTCCTGTATAGAACACCCCTGATGGTATTGTTGAAAGACCAGGAGGTAGCTTGAGTGAAGCAGGGATGATTGATTGAATTGTGCCAGTAACTGTTGGCAGAAATATTGATGTGCTGTTGCTCCCTATCATAGTGATGTAGGTTGCATCAGAAGGCATATGAGATGAGAGTGGATGCATGTATAGTGTGCCAGTGCCTGCTATAGAGCTAGAGAGGTGCTCTAATGTTGCTTGAGAGAAGTCTGGTGATGTGCTTCCATCCAGTTGGCTTGTAAGAGAAAAAGCAGAAGCCAGAAAAAGTGTAACTGTCTGCATGCTTAGAATTATAAGAGTTAAATGTTGTTGCTAATATGGCTAGTATCTGGAGACTGGTGAAAGTATGGGTATAAATACTAGAAGTTTCTTTCTATTAGCATTCAGATCTGACAAAATACTGAATTGAAGTGCTGCAGCTTTAGCTGCCTGTCATTTAACTTTGTAATGATTTACTTTGGCAACCTAGATATATACTGTAGTGCTCCTATTGTCTTTTCCCTATACCATCCCACCAAATATGTCTACCAGGGCAAACACAAAACATGCAGATTTAAGGCAGGAATGTCATAAGATGCTCTCTATATATATCAGTAGACTCTTATATTGTCTACTGCTGTCTCCACACCTTCCTTGGCCTGCTTGCTTGTCTTTGCCTCTCCTTCATCCTTTAGCTGTAAATGATGTCTTGTGTTCTCCACTTGATGGCAGGGAAGTTCCCCAGTGGGCTCCAAGTAAAGTGCCCCACAAACAGACCCTTGGCTTTCTAATGCTCAATAGCTAATTCAGAGATGTCTGAAGACAGGTCAGCTAAATTCCAGTTACACTTTGCACACCCAAACAATCAGTACCCATCACTGTAGTCAACACTGCAATTTGAGCCATCAGCATCCTCATGCTGGCCTTTCTCATTATCATCTGCAATATATTGATGTGCATGACACTAGTTGAAGTGACCATTGAGGAAAAAACTCCACAGTGATCTGCTGGTCAGAAGACAAGAACAGGCTGGAAATCATCAGAACATGGTGGATAATTATCTCACGTGTATTCACCAAGCAACATATTTCACCCTTGCTCCAATAGCATCAGCAAATTCAAGTGGACACTTGTCCTGAAGGAATATAATAAGTAGAGTAGTGGTATCTTACTGTGACTCAGGCCTTGTGAGGGCAACACCAGGGCCAAAGTTCAAAGCTTATTAATTATCAGTTACTTTGCAAAAACTGGCTTGGACAAATTGTTGTTTATACAGTAGCAGAAAATTGTTTTTTTTTGTGGCCATGGTCTTCATAAACAGAGAAAAGTGAGGAAACTAAACAAAGAAACCAATAATTGACAGATTGTCAAATCAGACAAAGAAAGTAGGAAACAAAGAACTGGCTCATATAACAAGCTCATTGTAAGTAAGTATCCAATGTGGTGGCACTGAAAGGCTCTTGGGTCCCATGCTGTCTCCCATTATTCAATGATTTGAGTTCACTGCAAGACATTGCGCTCTTAAACACTAAGCTGAGATAATGCTTTCTGGCATAGTTCTAGCTGATTTCTTAATTGATCCAAGATGGAACTAGCTTGAAGCTTTGTTAGGCGTTCTGCTGCTGAAGCCAGCTAATTTTGCGGTAGTGATTCCGGTGCGACGGGAGGTTCCAACGAGGCTTCACGAACTTCAATGTCCGTTCTGGAATGCCGACCCCGGGGCTGACCATAGAGCTCAGTCGAAAATCTGGGATCGAGCCAATAAGCTGTGGGACCATGTTGAGAGGAATGTCGTGGATAGTGACGGGAAGCGCGCCGGAGTCCATCAAAACGAGCTACAGGCATACTCTTGTGGCACGAAGCCATGTGGTCTTTGCGCTCGACAGAACATTCACTTTGTGCCCGAGAGCGTTATGCATTTTAAGAGACACACTTATGACGTCCACGGTCCGCGGTTACGCGGTCTCAGTTGTTGTAATCCTGGCTGAAGCGTCTTGTTACAGCTATGTATAATAGGAAATCCGTAGAAATCTACACCACACGCTAACGAATTTGTTACAGGAAAGAGCTGCTGCTTGCGTGCGTAGTTTCTTCATGGAATCTGCTAACATCATTCCTATGGTTGTTTTCGCCTAGTACAGATGACAGTGCGCATCAAGTATAGTGGGATAATGTAACACAGGCCATGGACTTGTGTGCAGAAAATGGAACAAAAACCAAGTGAATCCAATAGTGCTTGGCATGACATATGATGAAGATTTGATTTCAATTTTGGCAGTTTCTGGTATTTCTGACTCACTGCATAGTTGCATTTCTGCAACTAGGCTGATCCATGTTGACAGATAGTCAACTGTTGGAAAGCTGATCTTATCAATTGTTTGTATATGAAGTTGTTACCTAAGGAGGGAAGTACAGAATGATGACCATGTAACTACCTGTTGTACAGAATCATCCTGGTAACTGTGCCCTCTACCAACTGTGGAGAGGAGGTTCCCGGGTTACAAAAAACAACTCCAGCTCAGCTTTTTTCCTGGTGAAGAAAGTCATCACCACCAGTAGGTCTGAAACCAGGAAGGGGTAATGGTGAGGAAGAAATTGGATTGATGACTATGGAAGTTTGAGGAAGAGTCATTTATGGCAGAGAGGATGCATAGATATCATTAAGAGAAAAAAAAAAGAGCAAGGATGGTGAACCCTGAAATGTGACACCAAAGTCATTATATAAGAAGATACTAGAAAACTAACTTCCATAAGCCTTTACTGTGTTAAGCATCTTGGATAGCAGAGTGCTGCCTCTTCAGTTGATCTTCAATCTCTCTATCAATGGATCTGTGTCTCTTCAGATATTTGCTCCTTTTCCCAATTGGTTGATGAGCCAGTTGGAAATGATGAAAATCAATAATCAGCACCTGTTTCAACTCCTCATTCCACAAAATATTGTCTGGCTGAAGGTCCAGATGCTCAACACCCAGGGCAAGAATTTCTCTGCTTGATTTTGAAATCTCTCTTTGTAACTCTGGTGTCTGCTCAAGATCAGATGTGCTCTTGCCTCCCCAAGCCATGAGTAGCATGTGGCTAATCATGCCAGCACCATGGAGGAAGTAAATCTTTGCCAAATCAATTTTGCTGAGGAAGACAGGAACAGCAGAACTCTGTACTTTCCAGAGAACTTGATAGACTTCTGCTTTGCAGGAGACATGGCTTCAAAGTCAGGATGTTGTTTCTTTTCCAACAAGAGTGTAGTCATATGCAGCACTGGTGATTTTGAATGAAGCTCCATAACCCTCACAAAAACTGAAAGAAGTGCAATTATAGTCAATGTTTGCATCAACCTGCTGTTTGATAAGCTTAACTAGATGCTCTGCACTTATAAGATGTTTTTCACCACTCTGGCCTTGCTGGTGTAGCTTTATGTTTGGGCAATTTTCATTCAATAAGATACCTTGCTTTAGACCATGCAGGCAGTGCTGTGTGCAATACTGTGCTGCATGGTGACATGGACCAGCTTGAACATTTTTTGTGCCAGATTGACACATTGCCCATTGGGTGGGTGGAGATGATATGATTTGGCTATAGTCATGCTTCTGGCCTGATGCCACATTTGAGTTGCTGTCTGAAGACTCTGATAACCTGGTGTCCTGTACTGATTCAGATGGTGCACAAGTGCTGCATGATCATGTTGAAACTGATCTGCCTTTGGACTTTAGTGGGGACAAGAGTATATATTCAGAGGCTGTATATTCAGAACTTGTATAGTTGGGTGGTCTGTACTCTGAATTTGGGAGACTTTGCCTTAATTCATCAACAGGCATTTGAGAATGCATGTAGTGAAAACTTGTGATCCACATTTGTAGCTGTGATTGGGCAGCAGACTGCCATTCATTACTTTGTGGCTGTTCACTGAAACTCATCAAGCAAAAACATAGAACCTGAGCAACTGCTGTTTTTGGCTACTGCAAAATATTGTCATTTTGAACATCCATGTTGGGTTCACAGAGATAATAGTAAAGTGTGCTTGGATCATCTTCAGGAATGTATAGAAATATAAGAGAGAAGCCATTTGTTATATATGAATACTTGAGACCTTTCTGGATCATCACATGATATTCCTGAGCAATTGTCAACTCTGTGAGCTGTTCTGCATTGTATATTAATTTCTGTGATTTCTCTGTTGGAATAGTCTCTATGTTAACTACTGTTTTCAAGAAATCCATTAACTGAAGCCCCACACGGATATTTTCTACAGTAAGCTTGTGAGATGGTTTGTACTTGACTGTGGTGACAAGAGTATCTGTGCTCCCATTGATTTGGTGGATACAAAACTGATCTGCTCTGGAATTTGGGGTACTGGAAAAGTCAGGTGCATCAATCCCAATGTCCTCAATCTTGTTCAAGGTGTTGGCATGATTCTCAAACTGGATGCTATTATCAAGGCAGAATTCCTTACATGCCTCTGGTATCTTATACAGTACAGCAATAATGCTCTGGATGCAGTCTTCAATGGCAATTCACTTATAGATCTCCAAATCCTTCTTGCTGCTGATTGGGCATTGACCAACCATTTCACCAAAACCTTTGAGCTGGTGATGTGGTGTAAATAGGTGTGGTGTGCTTTCTCCAATAGGCTGTAGGTGCCTGCAAACAGACATGAAGATTTGTTGTTGTGTAGCCATACAGTCCAACCATGGGTGAAGTGTCAACAGGCAATATTTCCCAGTTGGGGGAGGAATTGAGCCTTTTGTGGACCTTGACAGAGGGGTGACTGCCAATGGAAGGGACAGTAAGCTGTGACAGGTATTGAGAAATTTGCCAAAAGTGGTTTGCTGGAGGCGAGCTTCTGCTTGCAAGTGCTGTGATTCTGCTTGCAAGTGCTGTGCTTCTGCCTGGAAGTACAGGGCTTTATAATCTGGTGAGCTATCGCTAGCCATTGCGGCTGGGAAAGTGGGTGAAGTAGGAGGCTTTTTGAGCGCGGTGGATGTGATGATATGAGATGGATTTTGTGGAAGACCTTTCTCCTTGAAAGTCAAGAAATTTGTGTTGGAGGCCGGTCTTGGCCAATCAATACTTGGGGCATGAGACCTTTTGACAGGGAGCATCTGCCTACTGAAATGCTTGAGATTGAGCAAAGGAAATGAGGGACAGCATTATTACAACAGCAAATGAGTGCCTATCAGATGCTCAATCTGAACACCAAACTGCTTCAAGTGTTGCTGCACAGGGTTCTGATGCATCAACTGTGTCCAACAAAACAGAGTATCAGGATGCACAATGGAGTTTCATGGCTCCTATTGCAGGTGAAGAGGATTGGTTTCAAACCCTGGGCAGAAATCCCAAAAAGCAGAAGGTTCCATTGTTTCTGGCAATTCAGTTTGCAATATTCTAGTGGATGCCTGACCTGAATGCAACCCAGAATAAGAATCCCCAACAATTTCTTTCAAGTGATCTGTACTCATGGATTCTGTATAACTTGGATGATGAATACACTGGAGAAATATACAGCAAGATGTATGCACTTTCAACAGTCGCAAAAAACAAGGCTCACCCCCAGTCAACCCATCTGGCGGAGGCATTGCTGAATGCTTCAAACTGGTGTACAAACACCAAGCTCATCATGGTAGCCTCTTTTCTCCACACATTCAATATGCTCTAGAAGGTCTTCAACTTGGCAATCTACTTGCCTGAGACACTTTCTGCGTGTTCCAAAGGAGAATGCCAGAAAATATTCAGCATCATCTGCGTCAAACTGAGATGGGAACACCCAGAAAGAACTAGGGCTACAAGCAAGAAATTTGTTTCTTTGATGCTGCTTGCAGAACTGTTCCTTAATCCATTCTCCATGTTCCCAGAAATCTGCTGCTGCTTGCTTAACAATGTCTGTGTTGATTATCTCTGTTGAGCTGTTGTCAAGTCTGATTATAGTCTTGTCCTGCTGGCATCCTGTGTTAGAATTGATTTCAGAAGAGCCTGGCTCAGGATCTGGCTGTTGCCCTACAATACCCTCTGTGATTAGCAATTTAATGGTTGAAAGACAGCAAATCATGTCGGGTACAAGGCTGGCCATAAGCTTCTCCCTCCCAACTTACGGACTGGATTGCAGCCATCGAACTTCTGGGAGAATATTGTGCAGGCCCAACAGATCCCCACTGATCCAGAAGAGAAACTCATCTACAATGCAAAGCAGATTACCAGTGCTGCCATCACGCAAATGTTTGACTACATGGTCAAGGAAGGGGTTGAATATGGGTATTTGACAACTGGAGAGGTGTTTGTTTTCCTTCACATCAAGAAAGCTCCAAGGGAACCTGATTCTAGTGTGCCTGGGAAGTGTCAACCTGAGACAACCATTCATCACAGATGGCCTGGACCTTATTGTCCACTACCTACTGCTCTCTTGGGCTGGGGACAGCCTGGACAGCCTGGACAGCTTGGAAGATTTCAATTTTGATTTCCACAGGGAGACCAGAAAGCTCCAGAAAGAGTTGAACTTAATTCACTATGTGCCCGCCTCAAGCCCTGCAGATGCATGGAAGTGAAGATTAGAACTTTTGTGTCAGGTTAAAATGCTAAAACACCACAAGTGGTGAGCACTCCAACTTTGAGTTCATTCAGCCCTTTGCCTTGTTAACTTTGGAAAGTCCACATTGTGTGGAGAGGATCACAACAAGCTTCTTTTTTGCCAGTCATTTTGATTTGTGTCTCAACCATCAGGACCTGGCTGACCACAGTCACAGCAATAAATGTTATTATAGAGATGCTGATGGTAGCAACTGCAGCATTGAGTATGGGGGTAAGTGTTTCCCTTTGAGTTACTATAAATCTCCTCAGTGCTGAATAGCAAGATGGACTAGATTTTTCCTAACACTTCTTTCAATTAATTCATGAAATTTGAGATTTGCTTGAAATTTGTTTAGAACTGATTTATCTTTATTTTGATCCAATGACAATTCTTCCCAGTGGTCTTTCTTGATTGACCTTTTTACTAGAATCACTTGGTTGTCATTCTCCACATCAACCATGATCCATTGTGCAAATTATTGCAACTGTTGAATATAACACATTCATTTTCAAGATGATTGCTTAACAATAAATTTTAAACTGTACTACTATAGATGAAAAACTGTAATTTCCCTCTGTTCTTGATTAGTGGGCATGAAGCCATGTGCTCATGCTACTGTTGTGTTGAATATTGGGAACTTTGATTGTGATTTTTAATTTTGCTCTTGCACTATATTCATTCAACACAGCTCTGATTGAGGATATTATGTCACTTTTTGGCCTGTTTAACTGAGCTGTTTCCTTCCTGATTATAGTTTGATGTGGAGCTTCCTTGCTTCCAGGTTTGGAGTTCACATTGGAGAAGTTGCAGGGAACCTTCCAAATGCAGCAGGGAACAATATAAGCTTCATATGAGCTTCATAGCTATGGTTAGTTACAAGTCTAGAGTACTATTCTGTTGACAATGCTGCCTTTCTTTCTCCCAAAGTTTTCTTTCTTCCTCTACATCACCAATTCACCCTAGTATCCCTGAACAGTGCTCTAGTAACATGAAAACAGTTTTTGTGTCGGGCTCAAAAATATTAATACAAAGATATTGTGCTGTTGTTTGGGTTGCCTTTTCAACAGCCAGCATGGAATTGGGACTGTTATTGTTCAAAATCTGTCCTAAGGAACCCATGGGCAGTTGAAATCACATATTTGTATTGCAGTGGGTATGGTTCATCTTTTGGTGTACAAGAATTGGAATTGTGCCCATTGGGAGAGAGCATATTAAGAATTATATTGTTATCAATTGAAGCAGCAGATTTAAAAAGATAGAAGTCTGGAGTTTCAAGATTTACTGACAATTTTGTCCAGCTATTGTTTGCCAGATGAGGTTTGCACACTGGAAATTCTGTTAGTTCTGGAGACAATCTGAGCTGGTCAAGTGATGATTCAAAGAGCTGATGGAGGAGCTATTTATTAATAAACTCTGTCATGCTGATTTTTGCTTCTGCAGAAGTTTGTAGACCCAGATTCTTCTTAAAGAAAGAAGACCTTCTTCTGTTCTATTGAAGATTGGAAATATCTTCTATTACTTCAAGTGAATTCAATAAAGTTAATTCTTGAGGATTGTCAAGCAGACCAAGTGCATCATATTGTGTCTTCAATTACTGAACATTATTGTCTACAGCAGTAAGATTATCAAGTATCTTCTCCTCATATTTTGCAAAGTTTTCTAGTAATTTCAGAAGACTAGAGTCCTGCACAGCCATTTCATATTTGTATTTTGTGGCTTGATCTTCCTGTGCCATATTATATTCTGCATGTAGATTCCAAAGCTTCTCTTTCAGTAAGTTCATATCATCTATCTGGAAATAGTACTGTATGACAAGTGGATGATATATCTCTGCAAAGTTTGAAGTGTTGTTCTTGACTGATTTCTCAGAATCACTTAATAAACTTATATCTTCTTCTCTATCTTCTGCTTTTCTTAGAGTCTTGATAACTTCTTCAAGCTTAAATTCTTTCTTGTCCAACTGGTCTTTCAATTAATTGTAGTTATTCTTAAAAGAAGAGTATTCATTTCAGGCATCTTGATACTGTTCAAAAAGTGTAAGAAGTGCTGAATCTAGTCTTGCAGGGTTGTCTCTATAATTAATAAGTAGCTGGTTCAGTTTATTCATAAATTCTGCTTCCAGATCAATAATATCATTGTATTTACATCTCAGTTCCTTGTGGTGCTCACAGGCTAGCATATAAGTTGTGATGACATTGTCTTGTTTTGTAATAAATCTTTGTAAATGGGTATGTAGTCCCTCATCTGTCTTGAAAGTGGGTGACCTTGAAACATGCTCAAAAAGAGATAAAGGCTTGATTGCTGGAAATGAAATCTCTGAAAAAGTCTGCACTAGTTAGATTGATTCTGTCTTTTCAGAGGCAAACAAGAACTCCATGTTATAGTCAACACTTTGGAAACTGGGTATGGAGAGAGACCACCAGCATAAATTAATGTTGGCTGGATGGAGTTTACTGATCAGAGAGCCTGTATGCTTCAGACTAAAGTCAACATAGACAATACACTGATCAGAGCCTCCATTTTGGACATACACTACTATCAGCTATAGACAATGCCCTAGCCTGAGCCATTGTCAATGTGGCATGTGGAAAGATAAATAAAGAAGGTTGTCAGCATGAAATTTTGGAAGATAATGAAAGTGCAAACAAGATTGCCCAGAAAAACAACTCTTCTATGGACTGTTATTTATCCAAGGCAATTCCAAATGTCACCAGATTCCATAAATATTTTGTCTGCTTGGGTGAAGGGGATGCCAGCTTGAAGTGGAGTCTGACTGTCATTTGAGCCAGGCTGTAGTATAGGCAGGATCAATCCACAAATTTGCCTTCATTGCATAACAGGAGAATCTTGTACAGCACAAGGTATGCATTTCCAGGAAGGTGATAGTGCCATGCCATCAATGCTGACCACTGTCATCAAGCTTATATGCATGGCTTATAGCTATAATGTGGAGCGGCAACCTGCGCAGCTTGAAAATCTATATGGCAGTCAGTCAAAAAGGTATTTTTCTTAACTGACCTTCTCATTGGTCCACACCCTGACCACATCTTCGCCATTTACTTCAAAGAAGAAATGGAACAGTACCAGGATACCCACCTTTGGAAATGGGCTGACCTTTGGGCGAGCCGCATATCCTCCATGCAAAAATCTCCCCCTAACTGGGGCCACAGATTGAGCCAGCACAAGCTGCCAGGGCCTAGTTCACAATGGTGCACCCTGACAATCAGACCACTGCCCATGAATCTGTAATCCTTTGCACAAAAATCCCATATAAATTTAAGATAAGTACAGATTTGACTGAATTGAATTATCAAACTTGTCATCAATTCAAGCCAACATACATACTGGCCACCAGGTGGATGGATATGTGTTGGTTCTTTGTGAAGGAGCTTCTCAAAGAGGAAAGGGTGAAACTCTACCATATACCAGGAATGGAGAATCCAGCAGACAGCTTGATGAAGCCACTTGGAAAACAAAAATTTAAAGAATTCTTACAGATGTTGAATCTCAACAATGTGGATTCTACATTCACACTTGCTTGATTAGGATGACACAAACACCAGCAGAAGTGGCATAACCCACAACAACATTACACCAGCAACAGATTTGGAGCTCAATCTCCAATTTGGACTTCTGCTTACCATTTACTAAGAAATATTCCACTCATTTGGTTATTGAATCAGCTTGGATCCTGGATTTGTTGGATTTATGTATTTAGAAATTTGTCTTCTCCCAGTACTTGCTGGAGCCTAGGGGGCAGTGTTGAGACACTAGTCTCTATGTAGTTAGTCTCCAGCTTAGTGGCTCGGATCTTCTTTGATCCAATGCAGAGTTTTTGTCTTGCTTCTCATCCCACAATCCTTTGGATGAGAGGAGAGAGGGCATGCATATCTATGGAGTTCATGTTCCGTGGTTCCTATAGCTTCCACATATGGTTAGTAGCCTTGTAGGTCCTTCTGAGAAAGTGAGAGTGATCAATAGAGAGTGAACAGAGAATCTAACAGTCTTTTAGAAAAAGAACTGAGTCAAGTACTGTTTGGCAGGCAAAAAGCTTCAATACAAGTTCTCTGGGAAGCAATTTCAAGAGTCAAGAAAAATCCATGCATCTCAGACAGGGGCTGCCACATAAAGTGGAAATATTGCAGCAAATGTGCCATAGCAAAGCTTCTTATTTCCCTGTTGACTCCTCTGCTATTGATGATGACTGGGAGAATATAGTAGAAACTGTACTCCAGTTCCAAAAGATATTCCTGAAAATGCTGCCCAGGCTGCTTCAATGGATTTAAAATCAAGTAATCACTAGAGAGATTCCAGACTGCAAGAAGCTCTGAAGAGAATTTATTCACAAGAAACTGCAGACTATTTCTCAAGAGCTGGTTCAAGAACACAAAGTCAATCTGGAGCTGTTTACTACTGAATACTCTTGTGTTCTGGAAACAGTTTTTTTGTGTGATAGAAATTTCTGGTAGTGATTCTATTGTTATTTAAGTAACTGGAATTGCCTTTTTGAACATGAATGAAGAGACCATATGTATTTTGGCTAGAGAAGCATTTGCAATATTTGGGATGTCAAGATAATTACTCTTATATAGTCTTGACAGAGTGTCCCATCTTGACTCTACATGTTAAATTATAGTTGATCTGAATATTGCATGATCACTAATTTGCCAAATATCTGCTGTATTCAAGAAAGTAATTCTGTAAAATATTAGCTAGTTAAGGTTGTGAGTCTTTTAAAGTACAATAGTGAAGATGAAGTGAGAAAATTACTTGGTACTGTCTTGAGATTAAGTAATTTCTCCCCTGTACCTGTGTGATAGAGAACTAGCTGCATGATAATATTCAAGAGAGAGATTAATCTTGTTTCTTGACATTCATATAATTTCATGTTTTCTATAGAGCAAGGCAACATGAAAGCACAAAAACAATAGTAAGCTAAAAAACATAATAAGATTCTCAAGTTTTCTTCTTTCACACATTCCAATTCTCAACTAGCAGGGGATGACACTTGTCCTTTTAATATATCAGCTGTGTAGCAAACATGGTATATTTACAACTTCAGAAGATTTATATACCACAAAACAGCATCTATTCATTTATACAAACATGCCTGTCTCTGAATATATTTGTATTGTATTGGATTGAGAAAATGAAGCTTTAATAGCTATACTGCCTTAGTATTGTTCACCATAAGATTCTTTATATCAGAAAGCTCATGTGTTAAAGAGCAACTCATCTTGACTCACCTTCTCTAACATGTTCTATAAGTGACAGAAGACTATTACCATCCAGATCAAGATTTGTTGAAGTTCTCTGATATTCATGTCATTCTGTTTAAGTCAAATCAGAAGCTCAGAGACTGGCAAGACTGCAGACTTCAGATAAGAACACAAGATGGAGATGGCTGCATTTTGAATTTGGGAAAGTAGTGACAGACTAACAGTAATAAAGACACTGGAATATGATTATCTGTATACAACTAAACTCATCATGTTATTATTATTGCTTTTCAGAAACTTCTGCAGTATAAGAGCATAGTTATCATCAAGACATTGATTTTGAGAAGCTCTTGTCTTGGTGAATAAACTCTGTAGCTGTAAAAAAAGAATAATGTAATAAAGCTTGATTGCTATGCTCTTTACAGTTATCTTCTTAGTTCTATACAGAGATAATTGACTAAGCTCAGCAGTATAGGTTTCAAAATCTGTTTGGTTGTAGATATTGTTTTCTAGCAATAAAGTGATGATGAAGATTCTGACACACATGCAGAGAATCATAATATTTGCAGCAACATCAAATTTATCACTCTTTAATAGAGTGAATGCCATTCCACTTATGTTCTTACTGGCCATCACTCTAACTGCAGCTATTAAAGTTATAGCCTGATTTTTTATCTTCTTGCCTGTCAATTCAATGACTGAAAATGGTTCAAAATTTCTCAAGATATGAGCAAGACTCTTGTAGTTATCATCTGATAAATCATTCAGTTGACTGCATCTCTTCTTCTATTCACTTTCTTGCCAGGAAATTACATCTGTCTTCTTTTTTTGAAGTCTGTAGATAACAGATTCATCAGAGCCAAGAAGAATCAGGCATAAATGCAGCAATATCTGTTGAACAGTCTATCTATACAGTGAGTAGAGAATAATAGTGATAGAAGTAATATTACATATCAGAACTAATTCTGTATCATTAAAATATACTCTTGCTTCAAGTTCTTCCATATTTTGCATTATGATTGCCATTGCTGATTAAATCAAAGACATGTTCAGATGTGTGTGTATCTTGAACAAAGATTAATAAAGTTAAAGAATAAGAATTAAACAATTCTACAAACTTGAGGGAGAAATTTCCCTATATATATATATGACAAGAGAGCCACTTCTTAAAGAACCCTTTCCTAACTCTGTATCTGGTGATTGCTGATAAAAATTTAGCATATGATATTCAGTCTCCAGGCATTCACAGAGTCTGAAAAAAGACAATTGTCTGCATGTCATTCTGTCAGAGATATTGCAGACATGTTCCATCTGGATGCTAGAATCTATATCTGCTGATATACAGTATCTTATTTCTGAAGCTGCTCAGGCTGTGGTAGCTCTGGTTAGCCTGTTGACAAGACAAGAATATAAGAGATGATTCATCTTGCATTACCATTACTTCTAACTTCTTTCATAAAGTCAAGCTGTCTGTAATATTCTGCCAAGCTCAGATAGCTGAGATTTTAGCACTCATTCAGAATGCAAGTCTTCCAAGTCTAGAAAATCTCCATGCATTCTCAGGCAGATGCACCATATTGTTCAATTAATACTGGTTTCTCTTTAATCTTGATGAGCATTAATGAGTAGATCAGTACTGACAACAGATAACTATGGAAGAACAAAAATATGAAAAGCCACTTAAAAAGAGTTAGCTCTAAAATTCATGAGCTCACAAGCATAGAATAATTTTACCAAGATTTGAAAATACAGCATCATGACTGTTGGCAACCAATGTATACATTTGACAGAGGACTGTAATATTTTTACATTAACCTAAAAGACATGATTATGAAATTGCTAGCCAGAAAAACCAAAATACCAAGAGTCTAAAAACCTGCTTTATAAATCTTCTTGAGATGGATATTACTGTTGTAATCATGAGTCAGAGTGCTCTATAATGAAGAGTGATTATATTACTCACAAGACAAGAGTTAACTTAGGTGGAATCAGATTTGAGAAGCCACTAGTCAGATGATGTTAGTGCAAGAGCTGTTTATTATAATAAAAATTTGCAGTATATAGAGAACTTACCAAGAAATAATGATACTACATTATTCTCTCTTGGCCAACTTTAATACTGCATTCTCAAAGTATAGAAGATAGCAGAAATTAAGTTAACAGAGTGAAGTGATTTCATAGACAAATGTCTCCTATCTTTAATAACTATTCTCTTCTTCAAAGAAAAAGTAAGATTGCCTCACTCTTCAGTTGTGTCAATCCTGTGTGCCAATTAGCATGCTACAGCATCATTTAAGGTAGAAGTTTGCCTTGCATTTTACTATAACAGTCTGTTTCTTGATTATAAAGATATCCAGTGTATGCTATCATCACCTTATCTTCTTGAGTTGGTCTGCTAACATTGTTTATCTCTGCAGTAGCCAGCTTTGTATCTGGTCTGCATTAGAGTTACAGAAATCAAAGAGATATATGAGATCATTGCCTTAAGCATTTCCAGGGGCTACTGACTGGCTAAGAAGCTGGATATTCTTGTTAGCCTGGTTGAGATTCTTCAGGCAACCATACACCTTATTAAAGAAAAGAGAGAGATCAGTTATGACTGTGAACTCTTGTAACAAAAATAATAAAATAAAAAACAAGAGAGTCAAGAGCATGAGAGCTTGATTTTTTGAAAATACTTCAGTAAAAGTGAGATTTTTTTGATCTTTATATCTCTCTTTGATACTATTATTGATCATAAACAATTAGAAAGAAAGATGCAAAGAAAGTCATAAAGCTAATTCAGAAAAGAAGAGAAATCATAAGTCTGCCAATTGTGAGCTATTAATGTATGGGTATGGATCTTGTAGTAGAACCAGAAATGAACACTCTAGTATACATGTGGACAGCTCTCTACATCCAAATAATCTATGTTCCACAATTGTATCTCTTGAGCTGATGGACTGCTGCTGTTGAGAGTGTGGAAGAGCCACAAATGAGTGCTGCCAAGCACAGAATTCCATGGATAAAAGTCGTAAAGTAAGATAGGAAGGCGAGAATATGTCCAAGATTGACTACCATAGCAGAAATGGGGAGGATTTGTAAACTGTAGATTCACTAGTCCTGATATGTTTATGTTAGAATATACATTTATCTGAATCCACAGTTGTTTGGAAGTTTAAAAATATATATGTTCTGAATTCAGAAACATAGCTTCTGATCCTCAATGTAGAAATCAGGAAATATTCAAACTCCTGATTAATGAATATATCTAGGAACATTCAAGATACCTTTTCAGGTTTATAAATGTTTATAGTATAGAAACCATTATAGTATAGAAATCATTATAGTATAGAAACTATTATAGTATAGAAATTATTATAGTATAGAAATCATTATAGTATAGAAACCATTATAGTATAGTTACTTCAGCAGATACTGGAGAGATTTCAACTAATACACAATACTATATACATCAAACCACCCAATCCATCTATAAAAAGAAAACACTCCAAGTGCAGTTGAGAAAGACAATTGGCAAAGCAGAATTCAGTTCAAGTCTTTTGAAATCTTTGCTGACAGGTATTGTGTAAAGACTTGGTTTGCAGATTGCAGGTAGACCAATTATATGAATCTCATTCTGATTCATCTGTAAAATTGACAAATCCAGTACTCTCTCATGTCAAATTTCATAAGCAGAGAACATGGCAAAAAAAACCCTCCAGCAGCTGCCCTGGTTGTGGGTGAATATACATCTTATTTGTCTGATCTTGGTGCCCAATGCATGAGTATACTCAACCAGATCATTAAGTTTCAATATAGTATAATGTGTATCTCTATTGAATGTAAAGATCAGCTTTTGAAATAATCAGATTGGAGTTGAACCTCTGCTAAGCATATATTAATATGTTCAATTACTGCTGTATGAAAGTCAGAGCTTTTGCAAAAAGAAATATGTAATTAATAGTTTGGAAAGCTACATACTTTGTAAACCAAGCAATTTCATAACTTTGTGACTAGCTGGTAGTCAGCAGTAGGCATTGATTAAGATATGGAAGCAGATGGTAGCATATGAATTATCAGCTTTATTAGCATTCTCATTATCATCTTGTTGCTTATTGTGTTCTGATTGCATAAGATCTTGCATGAGAATCAGACATTTGTGATGAAGTTGCTTTATCTGGCTAATGATATAGAGTTTCAATTTCATAAGAGCCTCATCAAGAACCAAGAATATAGTGTGTTTGAAGCTCTCATGAATCAGTAAAATTTTTTTAACATCATGCTTGTTGGTTTGCTGCACAAATGCTTTGTATTCATGGTGTTTATTCTCTCTGATCAGTATATTGCAGTTATTTGGTACAGCATACTTCTTTGCCTGATTAGTATAGTGCACCCCATATGCATGTTTGGTTGGTGTTTCAAAGCATATAATATCTTATCTACTTTCAGAGCAATACTAATAGTGTTGATTGAAATGTTCTCTGTTGAAAGTATCATAATCTGATTGAATACTGATGAATTCTGCTGTAATCTCAGCATTCATACTGTCTGGCTAGCCAACTGTAGTGCCTCAGCAGTCATGACAGTAGCATCTATTATTTTCTAAAGTATAGTTTAGGTGTTGGCAACCACACTTTTAAGTTCATTGTATCTGACAGATATCTGAGAAGTCAATAGTGAATTGCTTCTTGTAATAGTATTAAAGATTTTAGCAAGCAACAAATACAGAATGTCAGAATTAATTGACTGTTCACTAAAGAAGTTATAAAGAGTCTGCTAAACAATAGTCTGAATCCAGTCAGACTTTAAAGCAAAGCAGAGTATAATTAAGATTACAATTGAAGCTCAGATGTATTTCTGAATTTAATAAAACTTCAGATAGATAATTAGAGACTGCAGTCAGACCCAGTATCTTCAAAATAAAAATCTCTGTAGAGTTTGGCAGTATTTCTTCTGCCTCTCAGATATTAACATATGTAATATCAATAATATATATGCAATTTTGAACAGGCCTAAAAATTCACTATGACAGAAGTCAGAGGGGCAAAATATCACTAGATTCAGTACTGAACAGATCTTCAAAACTGGAGAACTTTTCTTAATTAATTTATAGATCTTCTACAGTGCTTCTCACTCACAAACAGTCTGCTTCACCTCAATTTCAGCCTGTAAATTAAGTAGCTGGTAATAGTATTGACTGTATTTCATCAAGTTGAAATTTATATTGAATCTCTCTGCATTAGAGACAGTACAGCTCTGACAGAAGACTGTTACAGTAGAGTGTTTGATTTCAGCATTATTATTTTGCTGTAGCATGTCATCAAGATAAGTAATACAAGAAGTAATAATCCTGACAGTTTCTTTACCAGTTACCACAATGTCAAATTCTCTTTCAACTGCTTGTAAACTGGGAGCTAATGTCTCCACAACATCAGAAAAATTTATAGCATGAGGTCTGAGAGCAATTGTATATACATTATTTTAGGCTGGTATTCAGGACCGGGATGGGATCCCATTTCCCATTAAACCTGGTCCCTGTCCCAAATTTAGAAACAGCTGGGATCCCAAATATGAAATCTCAGTCTCATGTCCCATCCCACTCAAGAGCTTGAGGTCCTGTTCCCATCCCTATTCCAGAAATTATTTCCCGGTCCCATCCTCAAATAGAAAATTATGTTCCACATCCCATTCCAGCAGAGATGGTAGACTCCCATTTCCCATTCCAGCCAGGTCCATAGTGGGACCAGGATGGGACCAGGATTCCCAGTCCCATCATGTCAAATTCATAGGAAAGAGTCAAACTGATCAAATTTTGTGTGGACCATTACCAAATTTCATTACTTTTTTGATGAAGGCAGAACCCATAGAAAAATCAATTTAATTGTCAAAAGAAACCAAGTATTAAAACTAACTAATGGCCAAAGCCAGCAAACAAACAGAAACTGCCTAAATGGCAAGTTAATCATCATCATCATCATCTTCATCATTATTATTATTCTTCTTCTTTCTCTCCTTCTTCTTCTTCTCCTCCTCCTTCTGCTCCTCCAGAACCAGCTTTGTGAACCAGACAGAGGCTCTAATATCCACCATTTGATAGGCAGAGACCCTGACAGCACCAGGGGGAGGCAGGGAGGTGGTGGTGGGCAGTAGCAGTGGTGATGGAGCAGCAGCAGCAGTAGTTGGTGGGGCAGAGGCAGCACACAGGCAGCAGGTGGTGGCAGCAGAGGCAGGGCAATCAGGCACATCAATCAGGCCAAAATAGTTCAATCCAATTTTGGTACTGATGCCAAGAATGAGCTTCATATCATCAGCATTGACCATAACACACTTACAGTGCACCATTGCCATAATAGAGTCTATATTACTCAGTATAATTGTTGGTGCCATTGCTAAGGGTGACTTACACTCAAACAGAGCACACAAGATTGCTTCAGTCACCTCCTGAAGTGACTCAATGACAGTATATTGCCAGCAATATTCATGTTCTTGGTGACAGGACAAAGTAATTTCCTGAACCAATCACTGGAACAGGGCCACCAGCAAGATTAGCTTGGTAGAGCTCTGGAAGTGGTGGATTTTCTTGATGGCACCTATTTTCACTAATTAGCATCAAGACCATTACCAAAAATCATTACTTTTTGACAACACAAATGGGACTGGGGTTCCCAGTCCCATTCTACACTTTACTGGTCCTGTCTCATATACAATATTGAAATTCCAGTCCTATCCCATTTTGTCATGTCAGGTCCCGGGCCCATTCTACTAGCTAGATTTTGATTCCAGTCCCAATCCCATCCCAATCCCAGTTCCCACAGAACTGTCCCAATATGCTGTTAAACAACCCGGTCCCATCCCATTAAGCTGAGCTTCAACCTGATCCTGTCCTCGGGACAGGAATTGGGACGGGAATCTGGGACCAGGACGGGAAATCCCGGAACCAGATACCACTCTACATTATTTTATCATCTTCTTTCAGAATCATTAAGTTCCACAGAGATCACATAGAAGCCAGTTATATTTCAGTACATATTCTAATATAGATCAAATCTGTCAATGAACAGCAGGAAGAGAATAGATATAGTTCTCTTGATAGAGTTGCCTGGACAAAGCATCTTGATCAGCATATTTCTTCTGTATACTGTAATTTCCAGTTCATTCTGGAGTGGAGTGCTAAGTTGGAGCTCTTGTATAGATGATGTGTGGTGAATTGTATTTATTACTTACTGTACAAAGAACTCATTTATTTCTGAGGGTTTATAGCTACCTAATCTGTTAAAAGTGTAGTCAAGATAGACATCCAGTTGAGCTAGAATATTATCTTCATGTATGATGTGAGTTTTCTGATCTTCCAGTAAGAGCAGCTTGTTCAGGCAAAGCAGAGATCTCAGTAAATGAATTCTTTTATCAAAGCTGCTGGCAGTAATAGTATACTGGATAATAAGAACAATTTCACTGAGTTTTGTGCAGGCCAGTCTCTGGTTCTGACCCACAAATTAAATTCTTCTGATATGAATTTCTTGTTCATTTCAAGTGCACTTACATGCAGCATTATTATATCTGAAACAAACAAAATTGGAAGAAAAGACTGATGTTCTGTCAGAATACCATGCAAAGTCACCTGATGAATATCTAATAGAGCTTCCCCAGCTTCATGATTGCCACAATTTGGTTGGATTGTCAACTAGATCAGCCATACCAATATGTATCTTCTTGTGAAATACAGGAGACCTTGCCAGTAATGACAAAAGAGCCACAGGATTCTGAAAGAATAAATTAAATGTGAGAGATGTCTGTATTAGTTGCTTCTTGGCAGGTGAAAGAGTTGGCATTTTCAATGGAACAGCCAGTATGAATGTCTGTTGAATGAAAAGTATAGAAAATTAAGCTCTGCATTTCTTCTTCAATGTGCTCAGCTCCAATGATAGAGATCTCAGTGCACTAATGTCTTTGGGAATCTGTAAGAATTCCTGCAGTACCTCATAGTATTGGTGAGATATTTCTGATTTTTTGCACCATAATTCTAAAGTGAGTGTAAAGTGATCCAGCATTTCATCAGGCTCCACATGCACATGGACTAGAACCTCCAACAGATCATTTATTGTAGTTGGGATGTAGATCTCAGCTGACTGGTTACTTAATGAATCCTCTAGTTGTAAATGAAAATTGGAATCTCCATTGCTAACTGGGTGCACTGGATGTAATATAATCTGTAACCAGAGTTTGAATTCAGGCTCTTCATACTGTTGTGATTCATTATTATCAACTGATTTCATGAGTAGAGCTGCCACTTCTTCTTGTATAATCTTCTGCACCCTAATGTCTTCTAGTTCAGAATGAGTGTTAAATAAAGTATTAGGTGAAGCATCAGAGATATCTGAAAGACTTGCTGCATTCTGTATACAGTAATTAGAATAATGCAGGCTGACAGAGAATTCAAGATCTTACACTCAACTCTGACTTCTCAGTTTGATTGTTTGGCTGAATATTGAGTTTCACTGAAAATAAAATGTGATTGCAATCTTGTGATTTCTGTAACAAATAAGCAGACTGTCTGTATCTTTGAAACTGTAAGGCTGGAAATGACAAATAAAGTTGTCTTCTCTAAAATATATAGTTCTTTATATGTCTCAAGTATCTTGAATCTTGTATGTTTGCTTGAGATTTATATGCTGGTTTCTGCAGTAGTTGAGTTTCAAGTTGCAGGAACAGTAAGAGTTGCTGTAAAATTACTTTAGAATAAAGTATGTAGAAATTAGAAAGAAAATTGCTGTTTGATTAGGGAATTGAATATATTATAGCAAAGTTAAATATTAGAGCAGCTGCAAAATGTGTTAACTGTACTGCAGACCAACTGTAATATTCTGATTATCTAGGCCTGTAATTAGCTCTAAGAGATGCAAGATCAGCAATAATCTGCATTCTTCTGAGTGATCAGCCTATTTCAAAGAAATCAATCACTTAGCAGCATTGAATTTTAGAATGTAGGGAAATATGAATACAGATCTGAATAGTAACTTGGGCAGTTGAATACACTTCAAGTAAACTATATAATAGATAGTAAACCTCTTTAAAATTCAAGCATTCACTCTCATTCATTCTCAACAGCAATCTAATAGTCAAAATGTCAGAGACACAGAGCACACTAGCATCAAAAAGAACAGCTTACATCTTCTTATGAGCTTAATTACACAACATGCTAAAGACTTAAGAGACATCATTCAGTTCAAAATACAAGTATCTGAACTGAAGCATTCTCTGATTATACAGAGATTGAAAAGTGGGTTCAAGTAGTGAAGCACAAGATATGAAATCAGGTGCAATGAGCCTATATATCAACATTAAATACTGACCCAATTCCTGATACTATTCAGAAGATACTGAGTCTTGAGAACTGGAAAGCTGAAAATAACTCATATTTTTATGAACTTTTCAGACACATGTTAGACCTCTGTAAAGATTGGAAATGTAAGATCTTGAGTAGCTTCAAGATCAGAACAACATCTCTAAACTTCTAGTTATGATATAAACTGATCTCATTTGCAGAATTATGTCAGAGAATATATTAAACTCAGCTTGACTGAGAATTCTGATTTTGAACTCCATGAAATAACCAATCAATAAAAGCTGATCAGTTATTTTGCCTGATTGTTTAAGTGGAACCAATTCTGTAAAGTCTTTTACTGAGTCAAGCTGTATATTAATTTTGAAAAGTCAGCTTCACAAGAGAAATGGTATTTTGAATGTAAGTCAATAATAAATCTTAATTGCCATGATTTCTGCTCTGACAGTTATGGCAATAGAGATGTATACAAATTTAGCAGCATATATAAAGCTGTATCTTGATGACAACAGTTCAAAATAGAATGCATTTATCTCATTAATCTACATCTGGAATTCTGTACTCAAGCTCTGGAACTGCTTGATACAGAAACCAGAACTGAGAGATGTTAATTCAGACAACTTTACCTGATGAAAGATCTAATCAAGAAAGTCAAAGACTGTTTATATTAAGACTTTGCCAGAAATTCTAGATGCAGTCTAGTTAATATCTAGTATATTATTCAGAAAACCTAATTCATGTCTGACTCAGGCAATGCAAGCTCTGCAGAAGCCAGAGAATGACAATTCAGACAAGAAGAATTAGAATTCTTTGCAGAACATTATAGAGAATTATTTTAAGACTGCAACAAATTGGCCTGCCTGTTTAAAGAGATCTGTGCCAGCCATAACTGGTTGCATGTTCTGAAAGAGATGCAGATTCTAGTTGAATACATGAAAAGATGCCTTCTTGAATTAAAATTGACTGTTAGTTTGTACTTCAAAATAGATTTTAGGGTTTGATATCTAGACTTCAATGCAATACTCTGTTATATTAATGCTTGCAAGAGCTGAATTTTGCTATATTTAATATATATCTCTTTATTGTTTACTGTAATCAGCTGTAGAAGCTCTAAGCAAAATGAGTTAGCACTTAGTAATGTATAAATAGATACATTCTGATTAGGAAATTCAAAACAATCAAGCAGACACACTAGATATAATAATCTCTTTCTACATAAAATCTCTCTCTTTTCTTCTCTTGAGCTTATTATATTTCTTGTTGCTTCTCTCTCTCTATTTCAATATCAAGATAAGTGGTGGATTTTAGAATAAAATAAGGAACTGCAGCAAACTGAAGAACAATATATGCAGAAATAGCAAAAAATAGCTCTGCAAATATGTAAATTGGCAGCAGCTCAGAACAAGTACTTTCTGATGTCCACAAAGAAGAAGCCAGAGCAAAAGCTCTTGACTGTTAAAGAAAAGCCTGCTATAATAAGTAATATACTCTGTAGCTGCTGTTTGACATTTGTGTATATAGTGTACATCAAAAAAGTCTTGTTTCTGCAAGCAAGAAACTATAAAGACCTGCACCAATTATGCAGAAGATAAAAAAATCTGTACTTCTGTTTCTTCAGAGCTGCAGAAGAAAGTGACAGTATTACTGTCTGATCATGATAATTTCCTCAGACTTAAGAATGTGATGCTTCAAGAGAAATTGAAAGCCAGTATGATGGAACAGACTGCTGGTCTCAGTAAATTACTTGTCAAAATGGCATTCTCATCAGTTTAAACTGACAAATTCCCCTCTCTTCTTCTCTTCAATACTGAAGTTAGTGCTGTCACTTTAACAGTATTGAAAAAGCTTGTGTCCATTCAAGCTGAATAAAAAGAGCTTGTAAAGCATATATTCTATTCTGTCAAGATAGATTGAACTGATTGAATATTATACATTCAACTTATGCTAATGTAGTTATATATATAGAATATTGAAAGAACCTTGGCCAATATTCACCAGAACTTAAAGTTCAATTGTTTATCTTCTGCAGTCAGTATACTTGATATAATATTGGAATGAATTGAACTGACTTTCATATTTAATGACAGAAAAAGCAAAAGACAGAAGAAATTATTTATAAATCAGCAGTCAAGATAAGCTCATTTGCTGCTGCTCTGCTCTCTGCTGCATTCACTTCTCTTCTCTTCTCTTTCACTCTGATCATGTCTTCTCTCTTTATTTAGTTACAGCCAAATATCTCTGCATCAGGCCTGTCTCCAACTGGAGGCAGTGGAGCTGATTTGCTTAAAAGTATAATCAAGCAGCCTGAATGAGCTTGCTCTGATAATTCTTCTGTGCTGGTTTTATGCCCTGTTCTCAAACCAGAGACTCCAACCAGAGAGGCTCAAATTTAAAAAAAAAAAAAAACTTTATTACAATTTGGGTTGTGTGGGTGGTTTGTAATACTTAGTTAGTTTCTAGTAATTGAAAAGCTTCTGAGTTGGGTTCAAAATTCTCAAGTTTAAAAATATATACATTCTGAATTCTATATGTTTTGGACCCTTTATACATGCATTGTAAATATATAGTTAATCTATGGTTTCAAGCTTGCAACCTGTAATTCAATGGGTTGCATCAGATAAATGTTTTCAGGCAACTGTCAGAAAATGTTTATCTGACACAACCTGTTGAACCACAGATCACAAGCTTGAAACTGTAGATCAACTATATATTTACAATGCATGTATAAAGAGTCTGAAATGTATAGAATTTGGAACATATGATGCACCAATTGAGGGTTTTGAACCTGATTTGGAAGCTTTTCAATTACTAGAAACTAACTAAGTATTACACAACCACCTGCACAATCTGAATTATAATAAAGTTTTTTTTTTTTTTAAATTTCAGGAGCCTTCTCACTGGTTGAAGTCTCTGATTTGGGCACAGGGTGTAAGACCAGTGCAGAAGAATTATCAGAGTGAGCTCATTCAGGCCATCTGATTATACTTTTAAGCAAATTGGCTCCACTGTCTCCAGTTGGAGACAGGCCCAATGCAGATATATTTGGCTGTAACTGAATGAAGGAAGAAGATGTAATTGAAGTGGGGGAGAGAAAGAGAGAAGCAGATGCAGCAGAGAGCAGGACAGCAGTAAATTAGTCTATTTTAATTACTGATTTGCAGATGATTTCTTCTATCTTTTGCTTTTTCTGTCATCAAATATCAAAGTCAGTTTAATTTATCCTAACATTGCATCAAGTATACTGACTGCAGAAGATAAACAATTAAACTTTAAGTTCTGGTGAATGTTAATCAAGGTTCTTTCAATATTCTATATATATAACTATATTAGCATGAGTTGAATGTATAATCTCTAATCAGTTCAATCTATCTTGACAGAGTGAAATGTATTCTCTGTAAGCTCTTTTTGTTTAACTTGAATGAACACAAGCTTTTCTAATACTGTTAAAGTGGCAGCACCAACTTCAGTGTTGAAGGGGGAAGAAGAGGAAGATTTATCAGTTTAAACTGATAGAAGTGCTATTTTAGCAAGCAATTTACTGAGATCAGCAGTCTGTTCTGCTATACTGGCTTTCAATTTCTCTTGAAGTGTTGTGTTCTTAAGTCTGAGAAAATTATTATAATCAGACAGTAATGCTGCTACTTTCTTCTGCAGCTCTGAAGAAACAGAAGTACAGGCTTTTTTATCTTTTGCATAATTGATGCAAGTCTTTATGGTTTCTCACTTGCAGAAACAAGACTTTTTGATATACATTGTATATACAAATGTCAAACAGTGGCTATAGAGTATATTACTTATTATAGTAAGTTTTTCTTTAACAGCTGAGAGCTTTTGCCCTGGCTTCTTCTTTGTGAACATCAGAGAGTGCTTGTTCTGAGCTGCTGCTAATTTATATGTTTGTAAAGTCATTTTTTACTATTTTTGCATATATTA